AGATGGAGTGCTTTGTTGGCTTTGTTGGTTCATTGAAGAAACAAAATTTTCACCTCCAATATCACTTTCACCAACATGATCATGACTTTGTTCCTCCACCATTTGAGCAGGGGTTTCGACTACATTACCCGTAGCCCGATCTTTTCCAAATATATATGCAAATCTATCAAACAGTGGAAAAGGTTTGCTTCTCCATCCATCGGCTTCTTTATTTCTCTAAGATTATATCAACATAGCAAAACTAAAATTTAGCATGCGTAACAAATATAGCAGCAAGAATATAACTAATGCATAAATAAAATAGGATATGAACCTGCACATAAGTTTGCCATGCGTCATCACTGTCAACTTCAACGCACTTTTTGACATCATTCCATGCAAATCCACTTGTGTTTATCATGTCAACGACCATACTATATGTTTTTTTCCATTTCTTCAACTTGGACTCAATATGTGGATTTGCCTTTATATTTGAATGAGGACATAAAACATTGACAGCTTTTGCTATTTCAACCAAAGTACCTTGTTTGAAAGCACCGGTGTCACACCGTTGCTTCCGAGCAACAAAATCCTCAAGAACTCCTAGTAATACTTCTTCCTCAAATGCTTTCCATTTACGCCTTCTTCCTTTTGGCTCTTGAGTAGCATTCAAAATATTATCGTTATCCATACCTAAACAAAAAATATTTTAATGAAGGAAAATACCATACAATAATCAATTTGCATAATATCCAATCAACTTGCATAATATCCAATCAACTTGCATAATATCCAATTAATTTGCATACCATCCAATCATTGTGCTAATATCTAACAAATGCATGATAAAAAGGAATACTAAAATAAAATGTTATCATTAAAACATATAGCTAGTTCGGTTGCTGGTTCCTAATTGCTCTCCACTCATTATACATTTCCTGAGCCATATCATTCCTCATTGCAGTCCACTGGTCCGATGTTTGAACACTACCAACATATTCACCTTCTTCTGTATTTTGTCCATCTTCTATTATTGGCAAATTCTCCATTGGATCTACTGACATCTCTTGCCTAATAAGATTGTGTAGTAGGCAACAAGCGGTAATTATTCGACCTTGTGTCCTTATCGGATAGAAAGATGGACTCCTTAGTATCGACCACCTTCCTTTTAGCAAGCCAAAACAGCGTTCAATTACATTCCTTGCCTTAGAATGCTTCATGTTAAAATATTCTTCCTTATTAGAAGGTGTTCGTCCCTCCCATTCAGATAAATGATAAGGTATTCCTCTATATGGTGCAAGGAATCCTTCACCATTTGTATAACCACCATCTACAAGGTAATAACAACCTAATGAAAAAAAAAACAGACCTTATTAGTGTTTTGTAGTTGACAAACAGAACTAAACCTAACTTACAAAGTTGAGACTAAGTAATAGTCTTACCCGCTGGTACCTTAAAACCATTAGGCCTACTAATCGCATCATGTAGCACTCTAGAGTCTGATGCGGAACCCTCCCACCCCGGAAACACATATATGAACTGCATATCTCCTGAACACACACCTAACACATTAGTTGCGACTCGACCCTTTCTTGTTCGGTATCTTGGTTTGTCAATTTCAGGTACATGCACATCAATGTGTGTTCCATCCAATGCTCCCAAGCAATTCTTAAAAACCAAAAATAATAAACTTTTTGTTAATTTATACAAAGGGAATGAAGAGTTAAAGCTTAGGGAAAATGAAAAAAAATTTCTCATCATACCTTAAAACATCGCCACCTAGCATCTGTAGAATCAATAGGCACAGGCTGGGGGACTTTTAGTAGGGTACCTTGTAATCGCAAAATTCCTTGCAATACGCTATTGAAATACCTACTTATAGTCTCTCCCGACCTATAAAATCTACCGCCAACACTACGATTCTTAGTATGATGTGCTAATATTTGTAAAGTCATACACACCTGTTCCTCTACAGACACCAAACCATCAGTTTTTACCCTCCCATCTTGACGAAGTAAGTCGCATAATATGCCAAAAGTCCTTCTATCCATTCTCAATTCGTTAACACATTCAGTATCAGTATTCCCTATTATACAATTCAGATAACACAAACTAATCTCTCGTCTAATAAGTGAACGGTTAGTCAATGTGGGTCGTTCAACATGTCTCTGTTTGCCACGTAGCATCATCACCACACGAATCGTACAAATACAAATTGTCTCCAAATAAGACATCTCTAACAATAAGATCAATAAAAGCTTCCTTCGATCCATATCTATCCAAACAAAAAAACAATAAACAAATTAACTAAATCATTAACCCAAGGCAACAAATATACATATGGCGTTGAAAAAAAAAAAGTTTTCATTAACCCGAGGCAACAAATATACAGGTGGCGTTGAAAAAAAAAAACTTTTCATTAACCCGAGGCAAACAAATATACAGGTGGCGTTGAAAAAAAAAAGTTTTCATTAACCCGAGGCAACAAATATACAGGTGGCGTTGAAAAAAAAAAACTTTTCATTAACCCGAGGCAACAAATATACAGGTGGCGTTGAAAAAAAAAAAGTTTTCATTAACCCGATGCATCATATTCAAAATGTTCTACTCTTATACATCTATAAACATGTGTCTAAGAACACTAGTATGAGGATTGCTATCATTGCTAGGCATTGCATGTGAAAAGGGAAATTAAAGGACACCTGTAATGCAGTAGCCTTAGCCTTAGCCTTCCGTTTATGCTCATCTTCTCTGCAACCAACAACCACAACAAATTTCAATTCAGCATCAACCCCACACAATACAAAACATTCACATTGTATACACACTGCATACATACACACTGCAAACACAGTACATACATACACACACTACATACACTGCATACACTACACACACACTACATACACTACACACACACACTGCATACATACACACTGCAAACACAGTACATACATACACACACTCACATACACTACACACACACACTACATACACTACACACACACCCTGCAAGTACACACACAATGCATACATACATACACACACTGCATACACCCTGCATACACCCTGCATACATACACACTGCATACACAGTACACAAACACACACACTGTATACACCTTGCACACACAGTACACAAAACACACACACACACTACATACACTACACACACACACTGCATACATTACACACACACCCTGCATAGTACACACACAGTGCATACATACATACACACCACACGCACACCTGCAAACACACACTGCACACACACACACTAACACACATACACACACACACACACACACACACTACAACACACTCACTGCACAACTACACAACACACTGCACACACACTACACTCACTCACACACACAACACACACAACACACACATACACTACCACACACTGCATACATACACACTGCACACAACACACACACAACACAACTACACTGCACTACATACACTACACACTACCACACACACACACACACACTGCAACACACTACTGCACACTCACACTCACACACACGCACATACACACACATACACACACACTACACATACACTACACACACACTACATACACTACACACACACACACTGCACACAACACAACACAAACATACACATACACACACACACATACACACACACACACCCATACACCACACACTGCATACACACAACATACACGCACACCACACACTGTACATACACACACACACACTAACACACAGCATACACTGCATACACACACTGCACACTACACACACACTGCAATACACACACAGTACATACATACACTACACACTGCATACACCTGCATGCACATACACACTACGCACATACACACACACACACACTACACACACTTGCATACACACACTCACACACTGCACACATACACTACACACACACACACCACATACATACACACTGCAAACACACACACTACACACATACACTGCATAAACTACACACATCACCACACACTGCACACACTCACACACTGCAACAAATACAATACATCAATCACATACACAACATACATACACACACTACATACATGCATAACATACACACTGCAAATACACACACAACATTACAATACACACACTATACATACACAACATATAATTACACAACACAACTACACACACACACTACACACACTGCATACATTACACACACACCCAATACAACACACACAGAATTCATACACACAACATACACTGATACAATACACCAACACTACAAGACACACCCTCACACAATTACACACACTGCATTTACACATACACAATACATACACACACACTACACACACACCACTGCATACATCACAGCATACACACATACACACAACACACACTGCATTACACACACAGTACACACACTGCATAATTACATACAATCTAATACAATTGATACAACAAACCAATTTTACATCAAATCTGTTAATCCTCAAGATTCATTATCAATTTCAAAGACACTATAAACAATAAACAGAATAATAGAAGCAACAGAGTAAAACCAGAACTCAAACTAATTCAAGCCTCAAGAAGAGATTATTATCACCAGATTCACCACATCCATTTCTACCAAATATCACGATGCAGACTATCCGTTCCAAACCATTAACGTAATCCGAATGAAACACTCAAAACCAAGAGCGATGCACACATCTAAACATAAAGTTGATAAAAAATCTCAACATTAAAGAACCATTTCAACTATATTGGCATAGAAGAAAAACCAAACGTCTGTGTGTGTGTATACATATGCAACTCAACCACTACATTCCTCATCGAAACTTTTGATTCGTTTATAAAATTGAACAAACAACAATTACCAAAATCAAATTAATCCGAATTCCAACTAATAAACAACCTAATCAAATCATACATCGATCAAGCAAACCAATCAAATCTCCACAATTTCCATCAATAATTTTCAATCAATGGATTTGATTAGATCCAATAAATACCTAAAACAGATCCAACGATGATATTGTTGATGGGGATGAAGATCAGCTTGACGAAGAACCCGACGAAACCCATCACGACGAACCCGATCGCTGTCCGGAGCGCGACCTTGGAGAATTCTACACGACAATCAACCATCAAATCTCATCAATTACACATGCATATCAAAGAATATAACTTGTGAGAAAACACAGATCCGACCCGAATGCTGAATTACCTTTGCGATCGGGCTTGTGGCAGCGCTTGACGAGGCGAATGCTGTCCTTGGAGAACTCTCGGAGCAGATCTGTTACGTGAAGACGAGGGAGCGGACGACGAGAGGAACAGATGAGGAGCAGGATGCAGATGAGGGCGACCAGGATGCAGCTGACGGCGAGCAGGGACGCAGAGATGAGGATGAGGAGGACGACGTGAGGGAGGAGGTCTTACGAATCCGGACGTTTTTGGGGTGGTTCGCTAAGAACTGCTAGCGAAGGGTTTAATCCGTGCGAGTCGGATCTAATCCCATTAAACGTAATCCTTGCCCCTACCAAACATCAGACTACAATACCAATTAGTGTAGTCTAGTCCAGTCCCCCCTAAGAAGGTCAAACAAACACGCCCTTAACGTTCATAAAATGGATTAGTTTGTTCAGAACGTGGAAGTACGGCAATAGCAACAATCCAAGTCCAAATCCCTATTAACTTCAAAAGGGCTTAGCTTTTAACTCTTGCAAGAGTTGTGAGACCAATTTGCGTGACCAAAGTTTTGTATTTTTTTTTCTCTAATGTACAACAACTTTGTATTGCTTGAAAGCAAAAGAGTAGGAGGAGCCACTTATCCACATATCAAACAAACAAAAATTGTAAATCTCTCTAACTTTGTTTGCATTAATCATTGTGTGTATGTGTACAGCAATAGTTGTGTGCATGTTTTCTTACTTCATTTTAGCAAATTAGAAATTGAGTAATGTTAGAGAAACCAAATCATGTAAATATTGATAATTAGATTATTACTTAAATATTGATTAACGTACTTATTTTACATTAGTGATATATCATTTAATTTACAAATTTAATTTTTTTAATACAGACGAAGTTAATTGGTAGAGCGGACCATTTCTGGTCTAACTATCCAACTTGATTGCGGGTCTAATCGTTCTCCATAAAGTATTACTTCAAACCTTACCGATTGCGATTGCGGTACCGAAAATTGACCTTGAACGAAAAAGCTGCCTATACTTTTAACATATGCCATGGGCCCATGACTCAGATTTGTCTTGGACCCAAAATCCCATCAAATGACTCAGATTTGTCTTGAACCCAAAATCCCATCAAAACTTTAACCAAATGTCAAAAGTAGGAATTGGGTATTTTAGTTAAATACGCAATATAAATACATAGTTAAATATAGTTTATGAGAGCATCTTCAAGTGTTTAGTTAGGCCACCTTGGTTGGTTGTTCTTATCACAATTTCATAAACATCTAACCCCACGTACTAGCCAAAAACATAATGTGCACCCGAAAACAAAAATCAAATCTTAGAGTACTGCGACTGATAAGTCGCCTAGATTTATTTTACTAATAACTTTCCATGCAAAGAGAATACAAAAATCGGTGCAACTACAATAAACTCAAAAGAGTGTGAAGCACCAACAGGTGTGTAAAACACTCTTACTACAATGAAAATTGTAGAATACTTTGCCCAAATTTTTCGGCACGAAATAGAACATGCAAGGAGGAGTAAGTTGTGAATTTAGTTACCAATTCGGAGATCTACATTATGGTTGGCGGAAAGGGGGTTTGAAGGAAAGCAAACGAGTAAGATGGAAAATGGGAAATTGTGCTATTCACACACTTATTTTTACTTCTCACACTTCTTTTCAATTTTCGGTCATCTGATCTGATCACATGAACGACAAAAGCTGCCTATACTTTTAACATATGCCATGGGCCCATGACTCAGATTTGTCTTGGACCCAAAATCCCACCAAATGACTCAGATTTGTCTTGAACCCAAAATCCCATCAAAACTTTAACCAAATGTCAAAAGTAGGAATTGGGTATTTTAGTTAAATACGCAATATAAATACATAGTTAAATATAGTTTATGAGAGCATCTTCAAGTGTTTGGTTAGGCCACCTTGGTTGGTTGTTCTTATCACAATTTCATAAACATCTAACCCCACGTACTAGCCAAAAACATAATGTGCACCCGAAAACAAAAATCAAATCTTAGAGTACTGCGACTGATAAGTTGCCTAGATTTATTTTACTAATAACTTTCCATGCAAAGAGAAATACAAAAATCGGTGCAACTACAATAAACTCAAAAAGAGTGTGAAGCACCAACAGGTGTGTAAAACACTCTTACTACAATGAAAATTGTAGAATACTTTACCCAAATTTTTCGGCATGAAATAGAACATGCAAGGAGGAGTAAGTTGTGAATTTAGTTACCAATTCGGAGATCTACATTATGGTTGGCAGAAAGGGGATTTGAAGGAAAGCAAATGAGTAAGATGGAAAATGGGAAATGATGCTATCCACATACTTATTTTTACTTCTCACACTTCTTTTCAATTTTCGATCATCTGATCATATGAATTGACAAAGTTTAAAAGAAAAAAATTAACAAGGGTGTGTGAAAGTGAAAGAGAATGTGCAAATATCACTACCCTTACTTATACTCACGTTTTTCTTGTAATCTTCTTTATTATTTCAAGAATTGTTAGGGATCATGCGGACTCACATGATTGATGAGAGAGTTGATTTTTCATTAAAAACATAAATATAGAGTAACTGTCATGTGATTATTTCATCATGGATACGTAACGTGCATAAATACAAACAATATTGAAAACAAAAAAAAGAACTTCAACACAGCACAAAATCTAAGATGCATGAATAAAAGCTCTTACTCATTTAAACTGCATAAGTTGCAATTTGTATATTGTAACGTCCCACATCGTTTAAGAGAGTGAATCATGTAAGCCTTATATGTATATTCTCATTTATACCTAGCACGAGGCATTTTGAGAGAGCTTACTGGCTTCGAGTTCCTTAGGAACTCTGAAGTTAAGCGAGTTCCTTAAGAACTCCGAAGTTAAGCGAGTTCCTACGAGAGCAATCCCTCGTGTGAGTTCTTAAAAACAAAACCGTGATGGTGTCGTCGGGGCCCAAAGTGGACAATATCGTGCTACGGCGGAGTCGAGCCCAGGATGTGGTGGGGGCCCGGGACGAGATGTGACAGTTTGGTATCAGAGTCAATCCCTGGACGGAAGTGTGCCGATGAGGACGTCGGGGCTCTAAGGGGGGTGGATTGTAACATCCCACATCGTCCAGGGAAGTGGATCTTGTAAGCCTTATATTTATATTCTCCTCTCTACCTAGCACGAGGCCTTTTGGGAGCTCATTGGCTTCGGGTTTCGTAGGAACTCCGAAGTTAAGCGAGTTCGCGCGAGAGCAATCCCATAATGGGTGACATACTGGGAAATTCTAGTGTGAGTTCCCAGAAACAAAACCGTGAGGGCGTGGTCGGGGTCCAAAGCGGACAATATCGTGCTACAACGGAGTCGAGCCCGGGATATGGTGGGGGCCCGGGACAGGATGTGACATATATACAATTGCATTGAAGTTTGTAAATTTAATCACGTTGAGATGGATGTGTTTGAGTTGTCAAAGCATTAGAGACATGGACGAAGCCAATGAAGGCTCATTGGGGGCATATGCCCCCACTCAAGTGATTAGTTTGTTAAGTTGCAAACTATAGTTATATAATATACACGTGTTATCTTTGAAAAAAAAATATAATTATCTAATGTTCAACATACCTTCATATTGTATATACTTCATATCAATTACTATATAAGCAAAAGTGCTATTTTTCTGTCATTCAAACCGAAAAACCTCTCTTGCGTAATCATGTATTAATATTTCTCTTATCACTCTACCACTTTTCAATACTACACTGAAATTTTTGTAACATTGGAAGTGTGATGAATCATCATTTGAAAATCATTCCTATTATCTATTGGGTATAAGCTATACTATAATAAGGTTTTCTTAGTTAATTTTCGGGTTGCCCTCACTAGAAGAAATTTCTAGCTTCGTCTCTGATTAGAGACATAAATTTTAAGGGAGAGAAATGTTAAGAGAATTCTCTTAAAGTGAGACTTTTCATAAACTCTCTTTTACTTTGCAGTTTAATATCAATTACCATGCCAATATTATAAAATATTATGCTAAATATGAGGTAATAGAAAATCTATAATCAACGTCGTAAAACACGACAATGCGTTTAACACGACAATGCGTTTGAGGATTCTCTAAAACACAAGTCCCACAGCGTCGTAAAAACCTCATATTTATCGTAGCCGTCGCAGCGAACTCGGGGGCAGGGTTGCCACGGTCGTTTGACTCAGTCGTCAGTCGCCCTCCAGAAACAATTAACTGCAAACCGCGAGAAGGTTTTCTCTTTCAGTGTTAAGCAAAGTCAAAGACGCCAAGTACGACAATCAAACACTCATTATTTCATCTAATTAACTTTTAATTTAAACTAATCAAACCCCACTGAAAGCTTCCATCTTTCTCTCTGTTCATCCAACTCCTGTACAACTCCGATCCGTAACCAAAAACCCAGTGCCTAAAAGGTTTCTGCGACTTGTTTTTTTCGATTTCGGATCGACCCAGATGGGATTTCGAATCGGGTTAGGGTTCCTGGTGCTGGTTTCCCTCTGTTGCACGGTGAAACCCCAGTGCAGCAAGAGCTGCGATGCTCTAGCTTCTTACTACGTATGGCAGGGCACTAATCTCAGTTTCATTGGCGATATCATGAATACGACCGACGCCACCATCGTCACCTACAACAAGGACTCGGTTCCCAACATATACAGCGTCCGGTTCGGCATCAGGGTCAATGTTCCATTCACCTGTGGTTGCATCAATAGCGACTTCCACGGCCAAATGTTCGAGTGGGATGTCCGTACCGGCGACACGTACGACCAGATTGCGAAGATTTTCTATTCGAATTTGACGACGGTGGAGGACTTGGAGTGGTTCAACAGCTATGATCCTAATAATATACTCAATAATACTAAAGTGAATGTGACTGTGAATTGTACGTGTGGGAATAGCACGGTTTCGGAGGATTATGGGCTGTTTATTACTTATCCTCTGCGGCCGGAGGACAGTTTGGATTCTATTGCGGAGACGGAGCAGTTGGATCAGGCTTTGCTGCAGAGATATAATCCTGGTGTGGTGTGAATTTTAGTCAAGGGAGCGGTTTCGTGTATATTCCGGGCAAAGGTTTGAGCTTTTGTTGTTGATGGATAGTTTTAGCGTGTGCTATCCATATACCCTATTTTACTTCTTACACATTCATAGTTAATTTCATTAGTTGATTTTCTTCAATTCATCTGATTCAAAAGCTGAAAATTAAAAGGGTGTGTGAAGATCACACCCTGATAGTTTTTTGTGCTTTGAAGTTGCTGCAGTGTTTTAAAAGGCTAGCCTTGGAGGTGGGGCTCCAACATTTTCACCTCTGTTTTGTAGAAGTGGGCGAAATACTCACCTAGACTTTTCGGGGTGCGCCTAGGCGGCTGAGGCGCGCTTGAGGCATTGATTGGGCGTCCATTTTTCCTTTTTTAAGTTGCAAAAATCTGGAAACTTTTGAGTTGCAGAGCTATTTTGAGTTGCAGGCCATGAAAAAGAGCGAAGGAGAAAAGAAGATGAAGACGACGGCTAGGTTTATTAGGCTGAGTTGGTGTTTTTAACTTTTTGTTTTCTTTTTAATGCTTAAACTGACCCCACGTTGTTACATTTATTTAGGGGTGCAACTTGGGTTGGGCCAATCCGAACCCGCCTATGTCCAATCCGACTTTAAACTTGAACCAGTAAGTTTTTTTTAGTTATAACCAGCCCAAACCCAACCCATTTTCAATCTGTTTATTGATTAGGTTGAGTTGGATTGATCATTTGCCCGTCCATCCCCAACCCGACTAACCAAACCCAATCTAACCAGATTGTAACCCATATCAATTAATATGCCTACTACACCCAAGTGAGCTAAGTCCAAAAACCAATGCCCTTTCTAATATTTTTTTTAATAAATTACCCTTTATAATTGCTTAAGCTTTTAGGAAATAAGAGGCTTTGATTAGTCAGATCAAATTCGTTGTCTCTAAATCCTAAAGCTTTATAGTAGATTGATTTATAAAATTAAAGTTAGCTAGCTTTGAAGCTAATTGGCTTAATTTTTTTAGGAATTCTTTGAAACTAAGTTGTCACAAGATTAAACTTGAAAAAGTTGGGCAACCCAAACCTAACCCAAGTAAACCCTAACCCAATTAAACCCGAGTCCAAATGAACCCGAATGAAACCCAACCCGAACCTGAGTCCGAATTGTAAAAGTTGGGTTAGGATTGGGTTAGGATTGGGTTGACCTTCTAACCCGCCCAACCCGCCCAAGTTGCACCCCTACATTTATACCCCATTATCTTCACTTTTTTTTTAATTATTATTATTATATCTAACCCAACTTTAATGACATTTATTACCCTACTATCTCCTTTATTTTCACTTTTTATTTCTAATATTTATTTTCTTCATGTACCAGATAAAATTAGATAAGCATTTTTTTGTTTTGTTTTTATTATTTCCTGAATATTCTCATGATTGGCCGTAGAAAAAAAAAAACATCTTTTTATTTGTATTTTTTTAATGTTATATTATACTTTTAAAAAAAAATCGCTATCTTTATCCTTATTTTTCTTTTTTTAAGACAACCTATCACACCCAAATATTACCTTGAACTCTCATATATATATATATATATATATATATATATATATATATATATATATATGTACATTTATATATAAGTATCACTTACTTAAGTAGGTGTTTGAAATTGATTAATTTGATTGCTTGATTAAGCTTGATTATGTGAGTTAAACTTGTTTATGACTATAATATTTACATACATATATATATATATTAAAATATTAGGTCTCGTGCCTCACATCTCAAGGCTTTTGCCTAGGCAGGACTATCCACCAAATGTCTCGCCCACGCCTTTGCCTTTTAAAAATATTGAGTTGTTGAGAATTGATGCAGACATTGAGATATCTTGCTGAATTTGCATACTTGGTAAAATGAAACATTTGGTTGTTTCGAAGTTGGAAAATTGTTATTTGATTCGGCAGAGGCTTATGTAGGAATGTATATGCTAATGAGTAATAATTTGAGCATGGGGTGAATTAATGAGTTTTAGTCAAGGGAGTAGTTTCATGTATATCCCGTGAAATGGTGCCATTTTCGACCAACACGTGGTTTCGTAGATATTTCGCTAAGTGGTGCCATTTTTCGACCAACATGTGAACTTTCGATGCATACGTGCAAAGTAGGTAATTTCATATACGATTTGGTAGACATTGCATGTTATTACTAAGTTTGGATGCCTTGATCTATGTTGCAATGCTAATGAGTTGAAACGAATCCACTAGAAGGAAAGGAAGCAAACAGTTGATTAGAAGGGTCTTGTTTAGGAAGTGATAGGCATAAATTTGTGAAAAAAGGAAACTTCAATAGTGAACTGAAATCCCACAGGAAAATGTTCGGGGTGAACTTAAGAAAGTGGAATCCCTTACAAAAGTTTTGGGGAAATTTGTAGGCTAGATAATCGATTCCTTGCAATTTCAACAAAGGCATCTTTAATTGTTAATCATGAGTTTGCAACGAATGTTAGAATGTTCAATAATTAAAGTGCTAGGTGGTGCAAGGTCTTTCCTGTGGTTATGGATCCAGTGGGCATCTAGGGAGTGATGTATTGAAAATGTTAAGTGAAGAATAATACAGCAACTCTCTTGTTTTAAGATATCAATTGACAATGCAGTTTTTAGCTGAGTTGTCATCTTGTTTTAGTAATTTTATTGTCCATTCCTTTTATTGATATTCCTTGATGCAACGTGCGAAAGTGCTAGTGAAGACACTGAGTTGTTTCAATTCTATGTTGTTTCTGAGTTGTTCCTGTGGTATAAATAAGTATAACGAATGTTTATCGGATATCCAGTTTTTAGGTATTATGAAGCATTGCTCTACTTTCAATATAGTTTGAGGAGGCTTTATTTTCAATTTTGCCCACCAAAGTTTCATTTTATCTTGCAGATCAAAATGGAACCTATTTGCCTTTGAAGTCGAGGTATCTTCTACTGCCTCAATACGTTAGCTTAACTATATTACATCTTGTTTTCACTTTCCGTGTCTTCTGAAGATTGTTAATATTTATGAGTTTTATTTGTGTCTGTTCTTTTTGCAGCTCAGGTGATACGGCCGTCTCCAAAATTGGCTTCATGTTCAGATGCCAGTGTGTGAGTGTGATTTGAAACTCAATGCTACTTGGAGCTCATCATTTTTCTTTTGTATAAGCAGGGCTAGGAGGTGGAGCCATTGGTGGCATATCTGTGGGAGTAATTGCTGGAGTGCTGCTATTGGCTGGTGGTGGTATATATTTTGGAATTTTCCGAAAGAACAAGGTGGATACAAAATTTCTCTTAGCAACATCTGAAGATCAATCTTCTCCAAATGGGCGTTGTAAGTTACTCGTCTCCTTGTTTCTTTTTCCTGATAGACTTTTCGATGTTACCTTTCCACTTTGATTCTTTGTAGTAACACTAGTTTGAGTAGCTGACTAAGCTCCTTACTTTAGGATGTTATTCTTCTCATTTAGCATTCATTGATTCATTTTCATCTTCCCATTCTTTCCAAACAAGAGGGTTTTCCTTTTTTTACTCCTTCCAAGGTTTCTTAAAAATTACGGGAGAAAGACTGCTGCTATTATAATTGTTAGTTGTTCAATTTTGTTGAAGGATTGGAATTTTTTTCTTTATCTCGTATCAGTACCACTGATAGTTTGCCCTCAGAAATCCCATTGAACCGGCCCTGGCCATTTTGTTGGTCTGTTTTGTTTATAATAATTGTTATGAAGTGTCATAAAACTGCCATGTATTTTCTGGTCTTTCTTGCACTTATTTGAACATTCGTTGTATTTTACTTGTTCTTGCCCTCAAATGGTCTAAGATTTTTGCACCAAATGGATGTTTGACACGATTTCATTGATTTTTCTTCTGGGTCTAGCCCTTGTGATTACCCCCGATAAACCTGGAGAGTCAAATGCTGCTGGTCGAGGCCGAACAGGCATTTCTGTGGACAAATCAGTGGAGTTCTCATACGAAGAACTTGCGAGGGCTACTGATAACTTCAGCCTAGCTAATAAAATTGGACAAGGAGGTTTCGGGGCTGTTTACTATGCAGAGTTGAGAGGCGAGGTTTGTTTTCTTTAACATTTTCTGTCCAAATGAAGTATGAGATTTTCTAGTCCAGCCCCATGATTCATGAATTAAGTATTTAGTGTTTCTAGACCATGCTTGTGTTTATTTCGTAATTGCTTATTTCTTGTTCTAGAAGTCCCACTCATATAACCTCTGTGTGCAGAAAGCTGCAATCAAGAAGATGGATATGCAAGCATCAAAAGAATTTCTGGCCGAGTTAAATGTTTTGACACGTGTACATCACTTGAACCTGGTAATGAACTTATCTTTTCAACAATGACAACGCATATGAATCTTGCTTAAGAACTATAATATAAGGGTGGTGTTATTGGCACTCTAAAAATCTTATTGTGCACTATGTACTAGTTTATAACCATTGAACTGATCTCTAAGATGTGTAATCATCTCTAAGCTTCTGAACGATCAATGCAGGTGCGCTTGATTGGTTATTGTGTTGAGGGCTCTCTTTTCCTAGTCTATGAATATATTGAGAATGGCAACTTAAGCCAACATCTGCGCGGTTCAGGTTAGGCTGTGCTTGATGAGGATTTAAGTACTTCTGTATGCAAGAGAATGATGATATAACACTGTTTAATGTATCCAGGGAGAGGGAGGGACCCGCTACCGTGGTCTATCAGAGTGCAGATTGCCCTAGATTCGGCAAGAGGTCTCGAATACATTCATGAGCATACTGTTCCTGTTTATATCCACCACGATATCAAATCAGCCAATATATTGATAGACAAGAATTTCCATGCCAAGGTTATTTTAGGGCCTCTATTTCCAATATGAACCATTAAAATCTTGTATTGTTGCAATAAAATTCCCTTCTTTTCATTGCAGGTTGCAGATTTTGGGTTAACTAAACTGACAGAAGTTGGAAGTACATCACTCCCCACACGTCTTGTGGGAACATTTGGATATATGCCGCCGGAGTAAGTAGTTTTTTCTCTATTATTCCTTTTAGCAGTTTAAGAGGTCGCACTTGGTGCGATGGCAAGTGCCTTCGTCCATGAGCGGTAGGTCTCGGGTTCGAGACTTGGGAGCAGCCTCTCCATAAATGGGGGTAAGGCTAGCCGACATTCACCTCTCCCAGACCCTGCGTAAAGCGGGAGTCTTGTGCACTGGGTACGACCTTTATTCCTTTTAGCAGTTTATCTTTTACATGACTAGCACTAACAGATTGCCTTTGTTGCATTCTTCTGGAAGAACCCATCGTACGCTGAATGAGTTTATTATTGCATAATTTTTCTAGTCCTCATCCTGACCAATAAGCTGATGGCTGAAAGGCCTGAATATTGTTACATATGGATTAAAATATTGTTACATATGGATTAACTCCTAAAGGCCTCGGTATTACCACTCTAACGACACTGATAGAGTCCTCAACTTTACCACCTACCCAATCCGTCAGGTGTGGGGTTTTACTACAAAAGGCCTCGGTATTAGTTAGAGTAGAGTAATACTATATAAATCCGTTTGGTTTTCTTCACCCCACCGATGTGGGACTTTAACATAACATGGTTGTGTGCAGATATGCTCAATATGGCGAAGTTTCTCCTAAAATAGATGTTTTTGCGTTCGGAGTTGTCATTTTTGAGTTGATATCTGCCAAGGAAGCTGTTTTCAGGGAGGATGGCTCTAGTTCGGAATCAAAAGGCCTTGTTGGTTTGGTTAGTTTTCTTTCTATCTTTCTACTTAAATAAGCCAATTTGCTTTTATCAAGTTTATGCTGGGATTTTATCTTGCATTACATACAATAATCTCTCATAAAGCACTTAAGCATGTTTTTGTTGTAATTTTATTTTTCACAGTTTGAGGAGGTCCTTAATCAGCCCGATCTGGAAGACCTCCGAAAATTGGTCGACCCTAACCTTGGAGACAACTATCCGCTTGATTCACTGCACAAGGTGAAAAAATTTGTCAGACCAAAACACATTATGATTTGTCTCTAGATATCAGTCTAAAAATAGGTATGGTGGTTTTCTGGTGCAGATGGCCCAACTCGGCAAAGCATGCACGCACGAAAACAAAGATCTGCGTCCAAGTATGCGATCAATCGTGGTGGCGTTGATGACACTCTCATCCTCAACCGAGGATTGGGATGTCAGATCCTTCTACGAAAATCAAGCTCTTGTCAATCTGATGTCAGGAAGGTAGAATCGGGTGAGTGCAGTGACGTTGCTTGTGTTTGGGAAGTTCCTTTTGATGTGATCATACCGAATATAAAGACATCATATGGACATTGTACATGTCATATAATTGAGCATTGTGGGAGTCTTGTGTAAATTGTACATATCAATTAGTGTACCAAATGAAGAGATAAACAGTTCCTTTCGATCTTGTGGTAAGATTGTCGAGATTTCCTACGCAACAAGCCAGTGTGTAGGTCAAATTCTTAGCTTGAAAAACGTAATTACGAGACAAAATCGATCTCGTATTTTCCTCGTTGAAAATCTTCATTTAAGTAGAAGCAACATGCAAAATTATGTATTTGACTTCCCAAGACACAAATATCAGACATACAATCTTTTGTCGAAGAATAATGATAGAGAGGCAAAAATTTTAAATCAAATTTACAAATTAAAAGATGTGTCACTAATAAGAAACAAATACGTTAATCGATATTAATTAATAATCTCAATCATCTACAACTATATCATGTGGTTTGTAAATTTATTTAAAACTTTGGTTTTCCCTAATATTAAATTTGCTGAAACCAACATGAATAATGACAGTCATGACTTATCTTTTAGATTTTGTCTGGTTTTTTTTTTAATATTTTTTTTATACGTTTTAAGACGGATCAGGTTTATGTTTTTTTTTTTCTATATCTTTTCGTATGTTTTGATGGGTAAGATTTATGTATCCGTGACCAAAAAAATCGATTGTCATGATGACTTATGGGATTCAAAGTATGTCATGTCAGTTCTAGAATTTTATTTTCTTTTAATTCGTTGCTGGCATGAAGCATGCAGCTAAGAAAGAAAAGCACGGCATGCAACAATGTCAGTGGAATTTTCAAGATATTCTTATTTTCTTGTGCCACAAGATTTCTGATTTCTTGACCGACGACATGAGCCAATGGCCATTCGATGTGTGCTCTTTTTGTATACTTTCAGAGCTCCAGACCATTTTCTGGTGGCCAATAAATAAAGCCCAGAACCATTTTTTGTGATTTAACCATTTAATTTTCCAACTGTGATATCTCTACGGGGATTGGTCAATCTGGTTTGCTGGCATATGCATGGTATCAGAAGGCAGACATGATCTGAGATTCTTATAATTCCAAAATTCATTGGAAATGAACAAAAAATCCCAAATCCATCATTAACCCAGCCGAATAATGGATTTTTAAATTTATTTAAACAATTTTGGGGCAATGAATCCATGTAATATCCAGCTTGATAATGTCATAATTCCAAATTTGGTTAACAAGTACAATGAATGTGATTCACCTACTAAAAAAACCTAGTCTCGTACACTAGAGGAGGTTGGCACAATTTCGTTCCTAAATGTTTTTGCACAATTATTCTCATATTAAAACAAAGATTAAGTTTCTAAAACTCCTTAATTTTTTAGGGTTATTTTAAATAAGTCTTGACTTTTTTAAATATTCCAAACAAGTACCTAATCTATTTAAAATGTCTCATCTGTTGAGCTCCAATTAAATTTCTGTTAAATTAACCAGGACTTATCAAAATCAATAGAAGATCATAAAAGCATGGTTTACACCAACTATCGGTCACCACTCCATTAGGCCATCATATCCAAGCCCAATATACAATCACTAACTCAACCCTACAACTCAAGTCGCCACATCGAGAAGAAGGTCATAAATGTTGCTGAAATGTTATGGACTGCCATGATGCAACCATTACCATTTTCACCGTCCTTAAAGAAGAACCGGAAGTTTACGAGCTGAGAATCGACTAATGAGGAAACCACATGTGCAAACAAGCTCCTTGAAACCCTATTTGAATTCTTAACATTCTTCTTTGTTAGGAGATTGTCGTCCTAATGTAATTTCAATATGTGTTTGATCATTGGGTTCCATATTATATAATTTATGTTTAAAATTTAGATTTTGAGACAACTAATATTAATGTTGACGGTGATATATATACATGTGGGTTTTGAATATAAGGGTTGAGATTGGGTTTCAATGGTCATAGGTTGAGGTTAGAGGTGGCGGAGGCTTGATATTTTCCGATCTTCATTTTTGTTTTCTATTTTATTTGTTTTTTTATTTTTATTTTTTCTTCTTCGTGTCTTTTTGAAGTCATTTTTATTATTAGTTTAGTGTACATATAAGCTAAAGAGTGGGAACCATTGTTTTAACCGGAAAAATTAATTGGGCTTAAAGGATGTGACATTTTCAATAGGTGGATACTTGTTTGGAATGTTTAAAATGGGTGAGACCAATTTAAAACGATACTAAAATGTTTGGGAGTTTTAAGCATTTAATCCTTAAATTTATTAAGGAATGTAAAATAATCTACATATGATAGACATACAAAACATAACGAAAAATCAAAACAAGCGATTGAATAACTATTGTATTATTGATAACTTCATTTAACGTAAAATTGTTAGATCATGTCTTTACTTAACTATTTAGAGTTTTATAATAGAAAGTGTCGTGATCTTTGGGAGATTAATTAAAACCATTTTCATCGATGTATAGGACACTTTTGTCTTAAATAAATGTGAACTCCTATCGGTCACGCATTTGTATATGGCATTTAGAAGACAGACTTTTGTATATGCCGATTATGTATGAGCATAACTAACGATACTTAAGCAAAGACAATTATTTAAGCGATCACCTTTGTTTTTTTTTTTTTTAATGAAAAACCTTGGCGGTACAAGGAAAATTTATTGATATGAAGAAAAAGAAGGGGTGGACAAAGGACCAAAACCCTCCAAAATAAAAACTAAAAGGTAAGAAGCTGCAAAACAAAAGGGGAAATCCAAAGAGATTAGGTAGAATAGAAAATCAGACATTAAGACAAGGAGACAAACATGTAGACCGACATGCCCAAGAAATCTGAATGCAGCAAAGAAAGAATCTCAAAAGGAGGAGCGGCATCCCTAGACAAGAGAAGAGGAGAGAAGCCCTAAATTAGCTAATTTTTCAACAACTGCATTCCCTTCTCAAAAGGTACGAGAGCAACATAAAACAATGTGTTGCGACCGGAGAATACTGTTTTTCCAACAAATGTGTAGCAACCAAGGAGGAGGGAAAAAAACCAGAAGCAAAGCAGATATCACACTAGAAGAGTCATTTTCAAGCCATAAATTTTGCAAACCTTGCACATGAGCTAACTTCACAACAAGGATGACAACATGAAGTTATGCAGAGAAAGAAATATGATGCCCCTAACTCAGGGAGAAACCACCAAGAAAATAACCCATAGAATCTCGAAAATGTAAAACCATTTTGTGAATGACAATGAATTATGCCGAGAATAATTGAGGGAATATTGACTTGGCAATCAAGTTAATGAAATCTCTAGGACTCTCGGTGCCTTAAGGAAATAAACATATTGAAGTCCTAATTACATGCAATCAATTAAGGGCCTTTATTAAGTAAATACAAGGAATAAGAGTCATGATGGACTATAATTGATGAGATATGATTTGGGTTGATATCATTTCCGATAATAGGGAGGATGGAGGGGGATGCCAAAGAACATGATCTATAGAATGATGACTTAACCGAGATATTACAAGAGAGACTAAAGTTGCTTATCCAAAATATCATGTACATGACCTTACCAAAGCGATGTTACTAAATCGATATAGATACGTTTTTCATATCTTGTTTTAGAATTGTCATTTGGGTGATTGAGAATGATTTTTTAGTTTATTTCTCTTTGGGTTAAAATCATTCTTCAGGTCTTGTTTCATACGTCCAGCAAATCCCTTTTTCTTCTTGACCTTATTTATATTTCCAAAAATCAGAAACCAACGAATCCCTGCAAATTATAGTTTAGCACGCGTAATTCACATATATTGCCAAAAGCCGGCTAAGATATTTCCTTGTTAGCACCTACCAACCCTCCTTCCCCCAACCTACTATAAATTATATATTATAGTTCTCTTCCCAAATTTCTATTAATTATATTATAATTCTTTTCCCAAATTTGTGAATTAATCCTTGATTAATGATTAATTTCCAAATTATATTACGTAATTAGGCCTGGCGACCATCTATAAATATTTGTATATAAATAAAGACCAAGTGCAGTAGTTTCCACGCTTCTATATCTCCCTTTCATACACGACTTGTGTTTTTTGCTTCCATCCCAACCTTTGCTTCCTTCCGAACCATGGGAGCAGTCCAAGCTGCAGAAGAAGAAATAATCACAACCCTACATCTGCACGACGTCAAACCAACCTTGCCATCTATTGATAGGTCAACATCATTGAATGATCACGAGCATCATCTAAATCTTGAAGAAGTGGAGGAGATTATAAGGTACAAATTCGAGAACAAGGTTTTGCTGCAGGAGGCTTTCACACATCCTTCCTTCGTCCCCACCGATTACTCCGGTTCATCCTACGAGCGTCTGGAGTACGTCGGGGATGCGGTGCTAAATTTGCTGTTCAGCAGAGAACAGTACCTTTTGTACACCGACTTGGCACCAGGGCCGTTGACGCGGCTCCGGGCAGCCAATGTTGATACGGAGAAGCTTGCGCGTGTGGCGATCAAGCATGGGTTGCACCGGTACCTGCGGCATAGGAAACCGTTGCTTGAAGAACAAGTAAGTGATAAAGATTTAAAGCTGCTTAAAACTTTTTGAATCATATTTTGCATTGGGTGTGGTTATCGTTTAGGGTTGAGGGTCAAACATGGATTTAGATGATAATTGAAGTCAATTTTGATAACTTGCAAGCGTTGACATTGTTTCGTTGGTCTTGTTGTGTTTGGTTAATTGATTTGATCGCTGTTTAGTATATTTTTCAACGCATTAAGTTTTGTCTTAATCAGTTGGACTATACGGCGTATGACTTTTGGCATGAAAGTTAAATCTGAAAGTTTGTGTTTGCTTCTTGTTGGATTACCTCAGGGCGGTCCTAAGAATTTGGGGGCCCTAGATGAGCCTTCGAAGTGGAGTCCTAAAATTCTCTGATCTCAGGCTCTTTGTATATTGATTTGTATAAAAAATAATCCGCTAAATACATAAAAAGTTTTATTTTTACATCAAACATCATTAAAAATTAATATCAAAAGAAGATAAATATACAAACATTATTTAAACATTACACGATTCACGTTTTTAAACACAAATGTACTAAATGTTTACAATTAAGAGTCTAGGATTGAGAGTGAAGAACAATAAAACTTGATGATCAAGAGAGTAAATAACAATAAAACTTGATTGACGAGTATAATAAATTCAACGCCAATTGTTTCTCTTGTGTTTTTTTTTTCTTCTAAAATCAACATCACACTAACGAATTAAATATTAAAATAATTCATTGAATAAAAAGTTATTGAAAAGAAAAATATAAATTCAAAGTTTTGATTACCTTAAAATACAATCTTTAAGACCATATGATAGTTGGTTTAAACATTCAATAGAAATGGAGAAAATGAGAAGTTGGTTTAAACATTCGATAGAAATGGAGAGAATGAGGAGTTGAAAGAAAAAAAAATTGCAAAGAGACTTGAGTTTTGTAACTTTATATGCATTTGAACAGATGGATTGGCAGTAAATTTGAAAAACAAGAAAAATCTAGTGACTGAAAGACAGCTTCATGTTTCAAACTCAACACCCCAAAGAAAAATGAAGCCAACATTTCGACTACAATAACAAATGAATTATGATATTTCTTACTTTTTTTTGTAGTTATATATTAATTACAAGATATAAAAAAAATTTGGGGGCCCTTCTGAAGTAGGGACCTTAGGTGGGCACCTACTTGGGTTACCCTCAGGACCATCCCTGGATAACCTGCCCATTGCTTTTGTTATACAGCTTAGGCTCCCATGGATTATAGCATCCCCAGTAAGGCATGCCAAAATTTATATTGGTTAATGAAATTGAATCATTTTAAGGAAGAGAGAGATATAAGATTTGGTGAAAGTCGTTTTCTCCCTAGCTAGCGCTGCTGGCAAAACTATTTGACTTATGAATATCTAGTTTGTTAAAGAAGATTATATAATGCGAATTAGTTAAAAATTACTTATTGGGAGATGCCTTCTTGTTAAATCCTCTGTATGATTTTTTTTTTAAATTTTACTACGGGGAGGGAGAGGGTTTGAAACTATTACAATAATGTATGGAAAGAGAGAGTTTCGAACCCGGACGCATGGGTGAAAACTCAGCCTATCCACTAGGATATTCGTACTACATGTAGATCCTCTATAGAAATGAGTTTTCTTAGAGAAGAAAAAAAAAACGTTTGAATTTGTTATGATCAAAAGTTTTGTTGAAAATGTACACAGATTCGAGAATTTACACGAGCGATTCATGAGTATCCACTGCATTCCAATGGTCTCATTGATGCTCCAAAGAACCTTGCGGACATTGTTGAGTCCACAATAGGTGCAGTTTTCATGGACTGCAACTCAATTGATATTGTGTGGAAGGTAATGGAATTTCATGTCGCTCGTTATTATGTTTGCTCATATCTGTTTTAGAACTGTGATTAGTACTGTTTTCTGTTTTGAAAACTAGGTGTTCAAGGATTTGTTGGAGCCTATAATAGATCCGAAGACGATAAAGAGGCATCCGGTGTCACAACTTCATGAAGTGTGTCAAAAGAACAATCTGAAACTCCAATTTGTCGACTTGTGGGAGGAGAAACACACGGTTGAGGTTTTTATAAACGATCAGATTGTTGGAAGGGGCACTTACAGTCTCAAGAAGGAAGTTGCACAGAATAGAGCAGCAAAAGATGCATTTGACAACATGTGGAATGTGATAGGTCAGAAGAAAGACAATGTTGAAGACCACCTAAGGGACAATGGTCACTGGGAGGATTAATTTATAATCTACTGTAATTTTTACGTACTCAATATATCTGTAATTTGTAGCGTTGTTCTTCACATTAGTTTGAAGTGTTGATGGAAAATTGGCTAATATATAATTTAATGCTTGTTGACTTTTGTTCCGTTTTAATCAATTTGAGATATGACTGCTCGAATCCTAATTGAAGCTAGAAGATGAATTTTCACGAAAGAAAACTATTTGGACAAACTATGCAGGTTGACATATCTACGTTTTCACTCAACATGCACTGAACCAAGAGAGTTATCTGGTCCAAACCAATCCTAAACACTAAATGAGATCTATATGTCTGGCCTTGCGTTGCATGTTCTTGAATTCACATGCCTCAGATCTTCTCTCTACGGGTATAATATTTGCTTTTTCTCTGCTTTACCTTTTATATTTGTATGAAAGTTGATTCTAAAAGTGAATTTCCACCACTTGCTATCACATGATCCACCCATCACTACTTGATAACGTCCCAAAATAGTAACATGAATCTTATCTTGTATCCAAATCTTACATAACGTCGGTTTTCCAGCAGAAAATATGATAACTTTAACCGTCTCTTTCTCATCCATATATTAAAATCATTGCTTGAATCAGACCTCTCTTTTCTCCACGCATCAGACCCCTCTCTCTCTTCTCTCTCTCTTCTTTGCGGAACATCAGACCTTAATTTCTTAGTTCTTTCTCTCCCGGCCCCAATCTGGGTTGGATTTTACTCTCCCATGATGGCTACTCCGACACAAACGTCCCCTTCATCCTGTTCGCAAGATCTGATGGCGTTGAAGAGGTGGTGTCACACGCGTGTTGGCCGACACTCAAGGGTGTCGAAAGCTATTTAATGAATGCATATGCTGATAACATGTAAAACATACATATAAATTTCGTTTGAACTACATAAAATAATATACTAATATTCAACTGCCAAGAATGAAACTACTGATAATGCATAACATGTTCATAGCATACAACTAATCCAGAGTACAAGCAGAAGATAAAATAGAGAAGAGCTATTACAATAGAAGTCAAAGTAGAGAGGATGACACGGTATCATTGGTGTTAACTACATTGGAGAAGTAGCAGAGATGAACAATTATAAAATCAAGAAATGAAGTTTTACTGAGAGAAGAGAAATGTGAGAAAGAAATGAATGAAGCTTTTGTATTAAACTCAATGAATTAACTTTACTATCTGTTTACAATAGCTATATATAACTGACTAGAGGACTAACTAACTCTTTCAACTAACTATTACATCATCCAATCCTTTACAACTGTTTTGATGAGCTGGCAGAGATGAGTTGGCAGTGATATATTCAACAACTAGTAGGGGAATGCCTTGTATCTCGGATCGTATTCCTCATTCCTTTGTCCTGAGGGGGCGCAAAACGAACATGAGTGGACCAAGTTGATATATATAAATAATACTAAAATAGTTATCAATATACTAACCCCCAAAGTTTTATGAAAACTAATAGCATAATATGTGATAGGTTTTCTGAAACCCTAGCATGCCATAAAAACTTTCATGAAACATATATCATATATAGTGTGCTAACTAGTGGTATCAGTATCGCCAGAAGACATATAGAACTCTTCATTCAGAACATTTCCTTCACAAGTATCAATCGTCCGTAGGCTCCTACAGCACCCAACCCGAAGGTCAATATAAGTATCATCGCCCGCAGGCTTCTATAACACCTAACCTGAAGGTCAATATAAGTATTATCGCCCGCAAGCTCTTACAACACCCAACCTGAAGGTCAATATAAGTATCATCGCCCGAAGGCTCCTACAGCACCCAACCTGAAGGTCAATATGTGACCACTAGATATGCACAAAACCATTCATAGTCTTTCCAAACATAGGTACATATATCTCAAAACATTTTCATAGCATATAGTTATCCATTATATATATACTATAAAGAAGTGTGTAAAAGCATGTTCATAGATAGTATATAGTCATCCATCATATATACTATAAAGAACATCATTTCGATAAAATATGGTATTCTAAAATATTCGTAGTAAAGCATGATATATCGTAAGTGTAAATCTAATTTACTTATAAAACGTTTCATAAAACGTAACCATTAACTCATGCTTTTCATGTATGTGCATTTCTACTATTAAAACATGCATTTTAGGGACACTCACATATACTCCATCGTCGAAGAGCAGTACAAAAAAGGAATGACAGAATCGCCGCTAATAATTGCACCTAGGCACATAAGGGGTACAATTAACAAAACTATACTCAAACGATTGAATTTCGGAAAACGGATCCAGGACGTCAAAATTAGTCTAAGAGGGGTCCCGGGCGAAACCCGAAAAAGCCAACGGTCAAAGTCAAAGGTCAAAGTTGACCAAAGTCAATGGTCAACGTTGACCGAAGTCAACAGGTCAAACTGATCAAGGGGTCTAGGTCGATCAACCGGGTTTAGGCTTCGGTTGGATCCGGGTTGGGCCTGAGCTTTGGGCTTGGGTTCTAAGGCCCAAAGGCCTAAGGTCCAAAGGTTTTGGGTCAAAGTGCCTGGGCTTGAAAGCCCGGCCCAAAGAAAAAGGGTTTAGGGTTATTGGGTTTTGAGTTTTGGGCTTAGAGCCCATGTTCCACACGGCCCAAAGGCCTGATACAAAGTGTTTGTGGTTTAGAGGGTTTAGCGGGCCAAGGGCCCTAGGTTTCTCGACCCAAAGTCCTTGGTCCTTTTGGGTTTTTAACAGAGAACAAATAAATAAAATAGGTGGGTTGGGCTTAACGGGCTCGAGGCCCGAGTTTTACTCAGCCAAAAGGGCCTGGGTTGCTTGTTCTCTCCGGGGAAGGAGGTCGAAGCCTCTTGTGCTTCGGTCAACGACAAACTAACCTACTAACCTCCGATCTAACTACAAAAAGGAAGGTACGAGAGAGAGGAAGATAATTTATACTTTGATAATGTCGAATGGTGGTTGGAGGTGGCCAGATTTTGGCTCGAAACTCATAAGGGTTCGCCGGAGGTTTCCTGGGTTTCTGGGCTTCATCGAGCTCCACAGAGGCGAGGGAGAGTGAGAGAGAGAGAGTCCATGATGGTGGTGGTGGTGCATCGTCGTTGGGATGCGTGGTTGGGCGTGTGGGTGTCGATCGGGAAAATGAGTAAGAGGATAGTCCGAGAGAGTGTGAGAGAGCAAGAGAGTTGAGCTAAGAGAGAGTAAGGAGAATGTTGACTCAGGGAGAAGAGAGAGAATGAGGTGAGTTAGTAGGCTGCCACGTGGCAGGCGAAGAGATGAGAGAAAATATGAAAAAAGATCCGAATAGGGTAATAGATAAGGGGACCAAAATGCAAAATTACATAAACTTTTAGGGGAAATGTAAAATTGCAAAATAATTTTGGGGAGGGGTTTTACATGGTGTTCGTGCAGTTGTCATGGTCACAAAGGGACTTGACTTCCGCCCAAACAGCCGCCTAACCCACATCTCGATTTTTTTCTCCTGATTTAAGCAAAATCGCCGCGACTGGCCACCACTACTGCTTTTTAGAACAGTGATAACTTGATAAATTTATCAAATAAATATTAGCAAAATATCAACAAAATCCCAAAAGTGACTATTTCAGCATTATTATTTCATTATTTAAGCCAAATTCCCTTGTTTTTGGAAAAATCAATTCGTATTCCGGTCCCATTCGGTTTTCCGCGAGAAATTTGAAAACCTAGCCAAAATTTTCTCTTTGTATAGAAATTTAGCCAAAATATTCTCTTTTTAACCAAAAACATAAACACCCTCGGTGAGTAAATATTGCAGGAGCCTTTGTTCTCTTCTGAATCAGCAATCTCTTTTCTATTTGGCACACATGTGGCACAACTCTCTGTCAACTCATGATACCGTAGGGAGGATGATGATGTTTGCTAAAGTGAGAAGCAAAGAAACCTGAGAAGCGAAGATGAGTGAGAGTAAAATTTGATTTATACAGTATCAAATTTGGTTCTTTGCTTCTCTGTTTATCTGTGTTTGTCATTCAGGAACTTTCTTCAAATCGGCATCCGTAATGATTTACTTCCTTCCTAAACTATATTGATTAAGGGAAAACGTGTAGAAATAAAAAAAATTTCTTCTTTTGAACAAGAAATAAAACAATTGGATGCCTCATGTACACAAAAATCTATTTATAATGGGTGTGTTGCTTGTAAGCATTATGCATAAACAATTCTCAAGTGATTAGGAAGTAATCTAGAAGTCAAATAGTTGACATTTACATATTAGGGCGTGTTGCATGCATGGATGCATTATTGCCTAAACAATTCTCAAGTGATCAGGAAGCAACGTGGAAGTAATTTAGAGAAGTTAAACAGCTGATTAGCAGAAATAATTGCTCCTTTATATATTATTTATTGAAAGTAGAACCATAACTGTAACTCACCAAGCAATTTCAGAACCTTAATTGCTCCTTAAGTTTTCCTAATTAACCTATTCCCTTGGTTGCACAATTAGCTCCCATGCATCAACCCATTGGCGTTAAATTTCATACCAAAGCTGTTTTTGGTCATGGTTCTTCTAGCCATGACTACTTTCATGACATCTTATCTGGTGCAGTCAGCTGGCAACAGGATTTAATGTATTTGTATATTAAAGTGTGTTGCATGCATGGATATATTATTGCTTAAACAATTCTCAAGTGATCAGGAAGCAACACGGAAGTAATTTAGGGAAGTTAAACAGATGACTAGCAGAAATAATTGCTCCTTTTTCATGTTATAAATTGAAAGCATACCCATAACTGAACCTCACCAAGCAATTCAAAACCTTAATTGTTCCCTAATTTTCCTAATTAACCTTTTCTCTTGGTTGCTCAACTAGCTGTCATGTATCCACTAATGGCGTTAAAATTCATATATACCAAAGCTCAGTGCTCCATCCATGTTTTTCGTCATGGTTGTTCTAGCCATGACTACATTTCCAGCAATCCAAGCCACTCACGAGTTCAAGGAAACCCTCCTGTCTTTCTACGCTCATGACTTCTTATCTGGTGCAAATATCACTGATGTTGCGTTTGCAGGTATTCCCGGCAAGATTTGGAACTACGATCAATTTGCCACTGTTTATGCGGAGGATGCCCCTTTAACGGAGGGCATAGACCTAAAATCCGCCTCCGTTGGCCGGATACAAGGCATGTTTATGGTATCGTCATTGGATGGACGTAATGCCTATGATATGTTATCAATTGTATTCACAAACAAGAAGTACAATGGAAGCACTCTACAGATACAGGGAATTGATAAGCAATTCGAGCAATATAGAGAATTATCGGTGGTTTCAGGTACCGGACAGTTTCGATTTGTTCAGGGATATATTACATATAAAACGGTTTTTGTGGACCTTCCAAATGCATACTTTGTTACACAATGCAACGTCACAGTGAAACACTACTAGCAAGAAATCGCGTGTATTTTTCTGTTATACTATGTATCTATGAACATTTAGTTCATGTTCTTATTTTTATCATATGCTTAATTCGGTTTGGTTGTGAAATTTTTTTATCGTTTATTATGAATAAAATCTTGTTACATTAACCTTTTGTCTTATCAATGTTTGAAATCAAGCCTCTTATTTCCATTTGTATTTTTCAGTTTAATTAGCAGCTAGCTAAACCCTAGATGATCTGTTGCTTTGGAAATTATATAGCCTAAGCTAGTAAGCTGGCGACTGAACTGATAGTCAATTAAGTAAAAAATGTTGTCATATCATGCAGATATCTGATGGCCTCATGCTTGTTTAATTATCTGCAGCATATATATAGTTGTGTTCTAGGATCGACTGGAATGATTTATTCAAGATGAAGTTCAGCTCGATTCGTTTGTGGATCGGGCTCGAGGTCACGGTTTGTTGGCTGATAATTTCACCATGACCTCGAACTTAAGTTTGGCTCGAGTTAATGAGAATAGAATTTTAATAAACAAATAAATTAATTTGCAATTATTCAATACATTCGCACATTACTAGTTCATTGCTGGCTGATTGAAGATAAAATTTGTTTTTAGGAACCCAATTTGAATATATAGTTCAGAATGAATGCCACTTTCCCTCATTTTTATTACATATCAGATAATGTATTTGTTATGTATTACAACTTTATTTTATTTTTAGAGAAATGTTAGCAACTTTTTTACTTGTCTTTTTTTTTTCTCCTCATGTCACATGTGGCACTGAAAATTAAAATAATTTTTATATTAAAATCCCACTATTTTTATTTATTTGTTAGTATAATTAAAATTTTAATTGTGAGTGAATTCAACATATTGAAAGCATTTCCAGTGGAGTCATTAAATAGAGACAACCACTGAATAAAATGGGTAATAAACAAATATAGAGACAAAATGAATCTCCAATTGATCGGAAAGTGAGTCCCTAAAGTATAGGGATTCACATGATACATGGTGTATGTCCTCACATATAAGGACTGTATGGGGACAACCTTAAGTGGAAAACGGGGCTCACAAATTGTGATTGAAGCTTTTAATGCTTTTAATTAATTAAAAATGTGTTAACATAAACAAAAAAATGTGCACCTTGAGTGGAAAACGGGACGCACAATCTTGATTAAAGATTTTAATGTTTTTAATGTTTTTAATTTTCATGCTTTCAATTAATTAAAAAAATGTTAAAATAAACAAAAAACACGCACCTAATCAAATTATCACATAAAATCATAAAAGCTTCAAATTTAGGGATCCTACTATAAGGACTATCCCATTGGAGACAATATTCCTTTAGGGACACAAAGAATCCCTTTAAATCCTTAAATAGGTACTTCCATTGCATATGCTTTAATAGAACTCAAAAGTGGTGGTGTGAGTCTCTAAATAGGTACTTCCATTGCATATGCTTTAATAGAACGCTCTTTATCAACCAAAATGAAGTAAAAAGACTATTTATTCTTCTATCACACAAAAAAAAAAATAATAAGAGCAACAACGTAATTTTACAAAAAAAAAATTGCATTTTTTGTTTAAGTCTTAGATTCTGGTGATTTTAACATCTATGATTTAAAAAATATATATTAAAAACAAACCTCTCTCTTCCCCCACTCCCACACATTTTCTCTCACTCTCTTTCTTTGCTCTTCAATTTTAAAAACAAAAATAAAAAAATTCACAAACACTTTGAGTGGGGCATATGCTAGTTGTGGTGTTAATGAAACAACCTATTGAAAATTACATTCAACACAATCAAACACACTTTGGGACGTCAGTTATTTTTGCTAGGAATCAGTTTCTGTTTTGGTCTGGCTTGTAGGTCGTAATAAACATATCTCACCCTAATTTCCCGTCCTTGCCTCCAAACCACAAGCCTAAGCCCTACCTCGATCACCAGTGCAATCTTCCAAATTGCCATGAGCGAACAATGCGTGGCAGACACCCCCCCTCCCCCCCCAACCACCACCACCATCGAATGCAGACGATCTGCACAAGCGGGGGAAACTCATATGGCACTGGGACGATAGCGATGATGATGAATTCGAGGACTTCCCCCCGGGAAAGGTGTATTTTGCTATCGAGGTATAACGCTCAAATGATCGGTATGGTTTTGATTTTTTATTCTTTTATTTAATTTAGGGTTTGTGATTCATTTTGCGAGCAAGCCTATATATCCCATATATTATTTCTTTAAATTTTGTGTATTTTATTGAGGGTAATTGTGTAAATGACTCAGTTGGATAATACTTAGAGTTAGTTAGATATTTGTTTTGTTAGTTGAGGTGTGTAGTTTGTTAGTTAAAGAGTGATTGGTAGTGACATGTGTAAATGAGTTGTATATATACAACAATCTTGTAATCTTATTTTTCATTCAATGGAAAGATATTCTTTCCAAACATGGTATCACCCGCCTCTATCTAGCGACTAGATCCACATCCACGCTTTTCCTCTCTGCCTCGCTGCTAAGTTTTCTTGCAAACCTTCATCACTAAGCTTTCTCTTTCTTGAAGCTTTTTGCACCTGTAAACCCTAATTTCTTCTACGAATTTTAATGGCGACTTCGGCTTCTCCTTCTTCTAACTTTGGTTCTCACATTCATTCTCCTCCGATCATCGATTTAAGCCCTAATTTCTCTGGCGCCTCTCAAATTGCTTCCATTACAATTCAGAACATTAGATCTATGGTGCCAATCAAGCTGACCATGACAAATTACTTGACCTGGAGTGCCTTGTTCGTTCCAATTTTTCGTCGCTACAACCTTACTGGTGTCATTAATGGCTCAGTTGCTTCATCGCCTTAATTTCTCACTAATGCAAATGGAAATTGCACTCTGAATCCATCATATGTTACCTAGTTTGAGAATGATCAAAACATTCTTATATGGATCAACTCTACACTTTCTGATTTGTTGATTCCTTATACTGTTAGAGTCAATTCTTCCAGAGAACTGTGGGCCAAACTAGAATCGAGATTTGCGACTGCTTCTCAATTGCACATTCATGAGCTCCGATCTCATTTTCAAAGCCTAACTAAGGGAGATTCCTTTGCTGCACAATTTCTTCAACAAATTAAAGAGATCGCTGATGCTCTTGCTAGCGCTGGAGCTCCGAGTGAAGATTCTGAGTTGATTTCTATCATACTTCATGGCATTTCACCGGAATATGATTCTTTTGTTGATGGGATTCAGTTTCACCTTGGATCCACGACAATCGATGAACTTCATGGTCCTCTTCTCAACAGGGAGATTCAGTTGAACAATCGGAAGAAAACATCTCAATCCTCGTCGTTTCAGGCCTTCAATTCTTCTTCTGGTGTTATTCCCACGCCTACTTCTCAAGCTCTTATGGCGTCACACAACTCCAATTCCAATTTTTCACAAGGTCGTGGTCTGGAGCGCAACAATGCTTAAGGTCAATGCTCTTTCTCAAACCCTAGGAATTTTCAGAGTCGATGCAGTTCCAAAACAACAATTTTCGACAAAATTCCAATCGTTAAGGCTATCAAAGGTACAATCGTGGTGGTCGCTCCAATTTCAACTCATCTGGCAAGAAAGTTCCCTGCCAAATTTGTCAACACTTTGGGCATGTGGCATTTGATTGTCTTCAGTGTATGAGTCCAAATTTTTCTGGTCACTTTTCTCCCTCAGCTATGGTTGCCAGTATAAATGTTCCTTCTCCAACTTGGCTTGTTGACTCTGGAGCTAGCAATCATATGACCGACTCGTACAACAATCTTTAGAATCCAGAATTTTACACATGGCTTGAGCAAGTTTATATTGGAGATGGCAAAGGTTTGCCAATTTTTCACTCTAGATCTTCTTGCTTACATACTCCTCATTACAGTTTTAAACTTAATAATATGTTACATGTCCCTGATTTGAAACATAACTTGTTTTCTGCGAATCAATTTCTTATTGATAACTGGTGTTCTATGCATCTTTATCTTTTTCACTTCACTGTGAAATATATTTCTTCGAGGAAGATGCTCTTTAAAGGAGCAGTGAGAGATGGCTTCTATCCTTTTAACCTTCTCAACTCTAGCTCTGTGATTAATCATCCTCATGCATTTGCTGCCTCTGTTAATGCTTCAAGGGATATCGGGTATCAAAGATTAGGCCACCCCTATGCTAAGATCATAAATAAGTTGACTTCTCAGTCTTGTATTTCTGTTTCTGGTAATAAACACACCACATTTTGTAATGGTTGTGCATTAAGTAAAAGCTCTAGACTACCATTTGTGTCTGTACCTTGTCATATAAGTAAACCTTTGGAACTACTTCACAGATGTTTATGGGCCATCATTTGTTTCTTCTGTACATCACTATAGGTATTATGTCATCTTTGTAGATATTTTACCAAATATTATTAGTTCTTTCCTATGCAATACAAATATGATGTCTTAAGTATTTTTGTCAAATTCAAAGCTCATGTTGAGAATATGTTGTGTACCAAAATTATGACTCTACGATCTGATTCTGGTGGTGAATATTTGAGCTTCCAATTTTCCAATTTTCTTGTTGAGCATGGCATTAATCATCAACTAAGCTGTCCTCACATCTCAGAACAAAATGGTTGTTCTGAGTGCAAACACATACACTTAGTTGAGACAACAAGGATCTTATTAACAGTATCTCAAGTTCTTCATATCTATTGGGATCATGCCTTTGCTACTACATTTTATCTCATCAACAGAATACCTACTGCATCCAAGGCTTCACCATGAGAATTATTGTTCAACATATCACCTTCTTATCACACTCTGAAATTATTTGGTTGTAGTTGTTTTCCTTGGTTGCAGCTCTATTCTCAATCCAAGTTGGATCCCAAAAGCAAACTGTGTGTTTTTTTGGGCTACAGTTTTAATCATAAGGGTTACAAATGTCTAGATCTTAGCTCACAAAAGATATATGTTTCCAAACATGTTATCTTCGATGAATCAACCTTTTTTTTTCACAAGTAAGTTCCTGCAGTAAGCTCAACATCAACATCATCCAATGTACCACTTTGTCACTCTATTCCATCTTAGTTGACATTTTCTACAAGCAAATTCACCCATGTTCATGCATCATCACGTGTCTCTAATTAGGAGCATACTCCAGTCTTTCTGACTGAGCATATTCAAGTCTCTCCAGCCCCTCTAACCAATGCATCTTCACCACCTCCTAATGTTCCAAGTACTACCACCAACATTCATCCAATGCAAACCAGATCAAAATCTGGTATCTACAAGCCTAAAGCTTTAACTGCAACAAAGCATTATTTACCTCCTCACTTTTCCCATGATTATGTTCCCGTTACTTACCTTCAGGCCTTTAAATGTCCACATTGGGTTAAAGCTATGCAAGATGAGTTCCTTGCACTGAAACAAACTAGAATGTGGTCTTTAGTTCCCAAATCTCATTCTACCAATATAGTAGGTTGTAAGTGGGTTTTCAGGATCAAGAGGAAACCTGATGGCACTATTGAGAAGTACAAGGCACGCCTAGTTGCCAAAGGTTTTAACCAGCAAGAAGGTTTAGATTACATTAAGACATTTAGTCAAGTTGCTAAACTTGTCACTATTCGAATTCTCCTCATGTTGGCGGCACAATATGATTGGTTTCTCAATCAACTGGATGTAAGCAATGCATTTTTGCATGGTAATCTCACTGAACATGTGTTTATGCAATAGCTACCTGGATTTGAAGACCTTATTCATCCTACTCATATATGTCATCTCCACAAATCCCTCTATGGACTAAAACAAGCTCCAAAAGCTTGGTATGAGAAACTTCATGGAGCTTTGACATCTCTGGGATTCATTGGTTCTCAGTCTGATCACTCTTTATTTGTCAAAACAAATCCAATGGTGTTTATGTTGGTTTATGGTGATGATATCATTGTCACTGGACCATCACCTCAAGCTTGCAAACAAGTAATAGCTCAACTCAGTTCCATGTTTCCCATCAAGGATTTAAATGTTCTCCACTACTTTCTTGGTATTAAGGTAAAAAGATCATCCAAAGGTATTCACATTTCTCAAACCAAATACATACTGGATATGTTGACGAAAGCACAAATGGATAGAGTAAAACCTTGTGTAACTCATCTGAGGACTTCCAAATTGGATCACACATCTCCCTTACTGGAAAATCCTGCATAATATAGATCTCTAGTGGGAGCTCTTCAATACTTAACCTGGACAAGGCCCGATCTTTCCTTTGCTGTGAATCTTGTTTGCCAATTCATGCATAGTCCTTGACAATCACACTTTCAAGCAGTGAAAAGAATTTTCAAGTATCTTAAGGGCTCTATTGATATGGGATTATGGTTTTCAAAAATTTCATCCACTCCATCAATTACATCATTCTCCGATGTTGATTGGGCAATCTGCTCAATTGACAGAAAGTCCACTAGAGGTTTATGCATTTTTCTAGGCTCATCCATTATTAGTTGAAATGCCAAAAAGTAACCCACTGTTGCTCACTCGTCTACTAAGGCTGAATACCGATCACTTGCTAACACTACTGCTGAAATCACTTGGATCTACAAACTGTTGGTTGATATTGGCTACAAACCTCCTTCTATTCATCAACTCTGGTGTGACAATGTTTCTGCCATATCTTTAGCTAAGAATCCGTTGTTTCATGCTCGCACCAAACACATTGAGATTGACTACCACTACATTCGAGAATAGGTTTTGGCCAAAGAAGTTTATGTTCATTATGTTTGCACACAGGATGAGCTAGCAGATATTTGTACCAAAGCTCTCTCTAAGCTTAGATTTTAACTTCTACGATCCAACTATCACTTCGTTTGTCCTTAGCTCAGTTGAGAGGGGATATTGAGGATAATTATGTAAATGATTCAGTTGGATAATACTTAGAGTTAGTTAGATATTTGTTTTGTTAGTTGAGGTGTGTAGTTTGTTAGTTAAATAGTGATTGGTAGTGACATGTGTAAATGAGTTGTATATATACAACAATTTTGTAATCTTATTATTCATTCAATGAAAATATATTCTTTCCAAACATATTTAACAGCGAAAAAATGAATTGAGCGAGATAAGGGCACGAAGATCATCCCTCAAAGAAAGGAAGAACACCAGTAAGTCCCCCAAATTAACAAGACTAGTTATGTTTATTATTTTTTTCGACTTTTGTTTGTGATTTAGGTGAGCCAATCTCTGAATTTTCAGTTTACGAGGAAGATGAAGAATGTTTTGTGTGTGTGTGTGTGTGTACAAATACGGGAAATAGTACATATTATTCATCTATGTTGATATTAAGTTTGTGTTCATTCCCTAAATTCGTCATGGGCCTCGCGGGCATACCAGGAATTTATTCAAACATGAGATTGGTGGGTGCGAGTGTGCCACTACTAGATGCCACTAGTAGACGGGTTTTGAATGATTGAGGTTGCACCTGAGATTGACTTCGAACCAAGAGATTGTGCCATTGAGTGGGAGTGGCTCAAATCAAGGTTCTTTGTTTGCCTTAAAGATAAGGACTTTTCTTATATGAAGAAATGGAACAATATGTAAATGGAAAGGTTGTACAGAGGAAAGTGAATGACTAATATTGCTGATTGCTTGTAGATTAATTGACTGAAAATGAGTTGTACATAAAGACTACAAATGAGATCGATACTACTGATAAGCAGCAGAGCTAATAAACTAGACAAAAGATGACTTTTGTGAGGGCTGATCCTGAAAAGGATTGAGGTTGGGGGTTGACTACAGCTTTATATGCAAATCTGGCTTGAGCAGAGTTTGTGTATTTGTTTGTTTGATTGGTTGAGTGTCCATAATCCTTCTACCTCTGCTCCTTTATATAGAGATCTGAAGGAGTCCCTTTGCTAAGAACAATGGACCTGCCCAAAAGAAACTCCTATGCAGCTTGCATTGTGAAATAATATTAAAATAAGCAAATTTGTATCTCCACCACATGCTTTCACCACATGTCTCCACCACTTGTAATAAACTAACATTTAAAAAAAGTAAGGTGGCTACTTTAACATATTCTCTGTACTAGTAAAAAAAAACACTTTGCGCGACGCATGCCCTTCGTCGCTCAAAGTCAAAAAAACGTCGCGCAAAAATTAGTGCAACGAAGCGTCGTCGCGCACCAACCGTCTCGCCATTGTAGTGACGCTAGGGTTTGCGCGACGAAGAATTAAACTGCGTTGCGCAAAACTACTTTGCACGACATAGTTCCCTGCGTCGCGCAAAGTAGGTTTGCGCGATGAAGAAGTAACCTGCGTCGTGCAAAGTAGTTTTGCACGACGCAAGGACCTACGTCGCGCAAACCACTTTGCACGACGCAGGTTACTTCTTCGTCGCGCAAACCCTTGTTTTTTATTTTTATTTTTTGGCGAAAATAATTTTTTTTTATTTTTAATAAATATTGTAATTAAATTCTAAACAATAATTAATAAACCAAGAAAAAGTATTTAATTATAATATATATAAAAATATACATACAAGATGTTCGAACAAAAAAAAAACTACAAGAAGTAGTCTTCTAGGTTTGATACATCAAGCTATTGGGTATCAGTTGGGAGGTCAAAGGTGTGACTTGAAAAATACAAAAACTAAATTACAAGGGTTTCCAATTGCAGTTTCTCTATCGGCAGATCAACTGTAAGTTTTCTAAAATCTTTAACCAAGAAAAAGTTTCGATAATATCTCTCTCATGGTGGATGTGTCACCTTTATTATCCATCTCCACGCCAAATTCCAGGACTGCAGCATCTAGCACTACTTCCTTTCCGCAATCTCGTAGACATTTTCATCAATTGTACCCTTAGTGACTAGCCTGTAAAGGACATGATCCAACAATTTTCTATTCAAGTTTATGACTCAAACCAATACCACATTATAAAAGCAGGGAAGAAGGGGTGAGGGTTAAACCTGAAAGGTGCTTCTCTCAGATTGGTAAGTATAGGTGAGGAGGGAGATGGGAAATTAAAGAGAGGCAAACCTGTATATGGTAACAACCTTCACTTGGCCGATGCAATGACAATGATCTTCTGCCTGTCGATCAATTTGCGGGTTGAAATCCATATCATGAATAACTACGGTATCAGCTCCAACCAAGTTCAAACCCTGTTCTCCAGCTCTTGTGGACAGCAAGCAAGCAAATATAGAAGTGCCATTATTGAATGTATCAATTATCGTCTATCATTCTGTCACCTGAGTGCTGACACTCAGAAGATATGGGTTAACAGACAAGAAACGCAACTTACAACAAATGAGGTAACAATTCAATTAACCACAATCAACAAGTGGAACTGAGCAAGCCAGATTATAAAACAGATATACCATGTGGCATGGCACATTGTTTTATGATAAGAACAATCCGTAAATGTGATAAAAGTACACCAGTACCTTCCATCAAGTCGTCTGTATGTAACACAAAGTCCACTCCAAAATATCAAGCATTGACGTCCATTGGCTGAAACACGATGCCCAGCTAGCTTCAGTGAAGGAAGAAGTTCAGCCAATGCCATCATAAACAAGAAAACTCTCCTCAGTTTTGAGCAGAGAGTATCATATGACAACTCTCTCCAAATTTTGACTCAGATCAATTGGTTAGTGAAGTTATTAAAGTAGCATTATACCTGAGATTTTGAAGAAAGCAATGCATATTTGTCTTGAAGCAATCATTTCTTATCAGAGACACCATAATACAGCAAAAGCTGCACAGAGAGAGAGAGCATAAACAATATCAACATACAATATGTAATCTGCTACACACATACACAGGCACACGAACACTGTACGCCCCGGATGATCAAATCGTTCCAAAACATTGATAGTAATGTATCAAAATTTGAAAGACAAATTCATTTTCAAGAAGTTGAGAAAATACCCAATGGATAGAGAAGTCACTATAATTCTTAAGTTCCCCAACTACTTTGTCTAAGGTAACTTTCTGGCAAAACGAACAACATCCTCATCACTGTAAATACGCCTTACTAGTAAAGGATGATTTGCAATCTAGAGAATGAGAAAAGAAAAAAAGAACAATAAGCAAACATATATACAATCTGAACACAAAACTGGGATGTCAAAAACATGAAAGTCGAGACAAACGCACCATACGAAACTAAACAAAATAGTTGGAGATCTGCCAGGAAGAACCTTAAGAATACTGTTCGAGTTAACCTCTGAAGTTTTTGCAATACGAGCTCATAAACTCTAGCATAGACCAAAGCTCCTACAACAGAAACACACAAGTCAATGAGTCATTTAACAACAAAACTAAAATCTATAAAAATTAATAAAAGTTGTTTCTAGTCAAGGAACTTAATCTAAAAATTATGGCGGTCCATTTAAACTGGAGTTGTTTTTTGAAATGCTAGTTCGGTTATTCTCTTCACAGCTGCTAGGGGAAACCATTGTTTCAATAAAATTGAGGCCTTATCCATATCATTATCAATACCAACCATAATATCCTCAATCAAGAAATCGTCAGCCCAAGGGTAAAATACATGATCTTCTTCATGGAAGATGTATTATCTTCCACGGAAGTGTACTGTTTCCCACTGGAATCGCCATCTAATAAAGGCCTTTTCCCAACCCTATTCTCTGCCAAAGTTGGACAATCTACAGATGGGAGATGTAGAGTTGAAAAAGGCCTGCCCAGAAGGTCATTATTCCTCGGTAAGTTTGCACGAGGATGTAGAGAAGTTAGATTGGTCGGTATAGGTGGGAAACGATCCTTGTCAACTTAAGGCTCAAGGCCTTGTTTCTGGCGCTACTTGAGGTCAAAGGCAGCCCAACCACCAGACTTAGCTCGATCCCTTGACATCCACCTAATGAACATATATAGAATATAAAACTGACGAAAAACAAAAATAAAGAATATTAGCAACAGTCATCACAAACCAAGTAACAGCATGATGTAAAAAGCTAGCATGATGTACAGGTTACTTTGCTAGTAAGACAAGTCCGTAACTTGCACGGAACATACAAAGAAACTGGAGATATCAGATCCAAAAACTAGCATGAAAGTGATTATAGAGCTCGAAATTTAACAACCTCAAATTCATGTTCATCTCACTATACAATCAAAATTCTAGAATACGAAGTATAAAACAAATACTTGTATGAAAAAACCGCAAATGGTTGTCTAGAATTCCAAAAGTCCTATATAGAAAATAAGAATTTCAAGCGCAAAAGAAAACTAAAAAATAAATTAATAGAGACATGAAACCCATGAATTGGAACATCAAAAAAGTACCTTCCTTTATATATAAATATGAAATCCGAGAACTGGGTGTTATCTGGGAAGAACACACCAAGGCGTTAATCGATCCGACGGCTGATACTTCGAAAAGATTGCAGGAGATACGACGACTTTCTTGGCTGATTCCCACGGTCCAATTTTGTATCTCATATCCATAAACCTAACTAAGATTTGCAGAAATACAATCCCACAAGGATAGAGAGAGATTCTTCAAGCTGAAAATGCCTTTTTAGTCTTCTTCTCTCAAAGCTATCGAAGAGAGAGAGAGAGCGAAGGGGGTGAAAGCGGCGGAAGAACTACAAAAGGCACAAAGAAAGTTTCTTTTTAGATTTTAGTTTCCCCCGGCAGTTCCACTACAAAATCAATAGTAATCCAAGGAACTTAATCAAGAAACATATGAAATTATTAATTGATTTCAATTCTTAGTTGGTTCTAGTCTTACCTTGGTCAGATTGCAATGTGCAAATACCATTTATTTTCCATTAAACCTCGTCCGCATCGTCGTCCTCCAATTTGTTCTTAATAACGACGCAATCGGTGGCGTCGTCCTCTAGTTCGTGTTTAATCTCGACGCAATCGGAATCGGAGTCCTCGTCGTCGTGGGAGAACTGTTGGGGCTTGGAGGTTGTTCGGAAGGCGAGGAGGAAGGCTACGGGAGAGGGTGAGGAGGAAGGATGAGGAGGAGGCTGACTGGGTGCAGTCGGGAGGAAGGCTACGCGAGACGGAGTGAAAGAGAGGGCGAGATCAGAGTAATTTTGTCCAGAGTAATTTGGGAAGATTCAAAATAAGCGCCTATTTTTAACAATTGGAACCGCCACAATTTTAAGAACTTGCACAACGCAGGTATACATTCTGACGTCGCGCAAAGTGCTTTTGCGCAACGACTTCATTGTGACGTCGCGCGAGTTATATTTTTTTTAAAATAATTATTATAAAATATACTAAAAATGTGAAATTACTTCCTTTAAATTCAATTTTTTTTTACATAAATAAAACCCATAATAATATATTTTTCTAACAAAAACCCTATCCGAACTACAATAATAAATTTAAAGTTACTTAATAAATAAATATACCATTCAATTTCTTAAGTATTATACGTACAAGATAAATAAATGTAAAGCTACTTAATAAATATATATATATACCATTGAACTTGATGGGATAGGCATTCGCATTCTACGAAATTAGTTTCAACGATCCAACCGTCAAACATGTTTGTATATACTTCGAGATCGCATACGCCAAAAATCGCAACAAACAAACATTCAGAGATCAAGTAACAGGACGAAACTTTTCGACGGTTATAAACGAAAAATCACGATTTAACGGTAGTTTTAACTCTGATTTTGATGATTTTTTAAAGCGACACTCCTTGATCCTATATGAATACAATGAACTAATTAGATCATCAATTAAAACATTTACACAAGTGGATACCACAAAATCTTATGTTATCCTTAATGAAAGTATAAATAAACTCCAAGTATTAGTGAATCTATTGTTTTGATGGGATACGCATTGTACGAAACTAGTTTAGACGATCCAACTGTCAAACTTTTTTGTACATAATTCGAGATCGCATACGCCAAAAATCACAACAACAAACATTCAGAGATCAAGTAACGGGACAAAACTTTTCGATGATTATGAACGAAAAATCATGATTTAAAGGTAGTTTTAACTCTGATTTTGATGATTTTTTAGAGCGACATTCCTTGACCTTATATGAATACAATGAACTAATTCGATCTTTAATTTAAAATATTTACACAAGTGGATACAAAAAAATCTTATGTTATACTTGATGAAAGTATAAATAAACTCTAAGTGTGAATGTATCGTTTTGATGGGAAACACATTGTACGAAACTAGTTTCAACGATCCAACCGGCAAACTTGTTTGTATATGCTTCGAGATCGCGTACGCCAAAAATCGCAAAAAACAAACGTTCAAAGATCAAGTAACGGGACAAAACCTTTCGACGATTATAAATGAAAAGCCCGATTTAACGGTAGTTTTAAGTCCAATTTTGATGATTTTTTAGAACTACACTCCTAACCCCTATATGAATACAATGAACTAATTCGATCGTCAATTAAAAAATTTTAAACAAGTGGATACAACAAAAGAAAAAGGTAATGCAAGAACCCCAAAAGAAAAGCAAAAGGAAAAAAAAAAAAAAACTTTGCGCGACGTAGGTACCTCTGCGTCGCGCAAAACATCTTTGCACGATGTAGAGGTACCTACGTCGCGCACAGTTTTTTTTTTTTTTTTAAATATCCTTCAATAGAATCATTATTGATTTGGATTAGCATTAAAGGGTGTATCTAAAATTTTGTCAATGCATACCAAAGTACAATTACGGCTAGCTCTACTTCAAAATCCAAAAACAAAGATGTAATTACAAACACGTAAAAATGCAAATTTGCAAATAATTAATATTTTGTTATTTTTAATATGTATGTAAAAAAAGGGTTGAATTCTTTCTCGGTTGAGCAAAAAGCTTATGGTTGTTATTGAGTGTTGATTCCTCAAGAAAAGACCTTATAAGTAAGTTGATGTTGGAACATTGCTCTCGTCTTTCCCAACTGCATGTCATATCATTTTCGGTGTTACCTTACGGTCCTTACTCATCTAACAATTTTTAATTTTCTTTAATTGTTTAAATTATTTTTTTCTTATTCATAAAATTTGTTCTTTCTTCACCGCAAGTACTCAAGCGATGCATATTAATAATTAAAATTAATCCAATTTAAGGATTCAATTTTATGACATGAGATTTCCTTAGTAATGCAAAAAAAAAAAAAAAAACCTTTGCGCGACGCAGGTGTACCTACGTTGCGCAAAATTAGGAAAAAAGCGGTAAAACATCTTGGTTTGGCACCAAAACTTTGTGCGACGTCAGTCTTCGTCACGCAAAGTTTTGTTGCGCAAACAGCTTTGCGCAACGTTTTATTTTTAGCGTCGCGCAAACATACTTTGCCCGATGAAATTTGCTACGTCGCGCAAACATGTTTTTGTACTAGATGTTTGCGTGCCTTTCCAATCCACATGAAAACATACAATTGTTTTGATTAAAGAAAGCTCTTGGCAAACCTCCACCACCAAAACAAAAGGAAAAAACAATATTATAATGTTCAAACTATCCCACTTGCAGCCAAATATCTCTCCAAGTTCAATGTTTTGTCCCATCATCCTCCAAATGCCATATTTACCATATTTAGCCCGAATGGCACATTTTAGGTGTAAACAGTTTGTGTATTTATTTAACAGCGGAAGCATAGACAGATGACAAACCCAAAACGGGTTGATGGTTTTGTCTCCAACCACATACCCCGCCTTTCATCTACTGTAGAATTTGTAAGAAGAGCGACGACCACATGACTAAGCAATGCCCACGTTTTGGTATGTTTGTTGTATTTTTTTTATCTGCTGTTTCATCTCCTTTTTACTTTGTGGTGAGGTTGCACGATTCATTTGATGAGGGTGCAACCATGATCGCGTCTCTCTTTTACAAAACATAATCTCTCGAGACTGATGATCAAAATTAGCAGAATGACTATGTTAAAGTTAGGCTAGACAATCTAATCCATTAAATCTGTGACGCTCATTTTGCATGCATTCTTCAGGCATGTGCTACCCTCCATTCGAATAGTTGATTCCCTGAACTGTGCTCTCCTTATTGTGCACCATTTTGTATGCATCACTTTGGTAAAAAATTTATTTGAAGGAAGTGGCCAAGAGTTCAAACGTTGGATTGCATATGCAAAGTTCACATTAGCATATGCATCACTTTTCTATCTGTGCAAGCAAGCTAAAATGGGCGGCCATGGATATAACTTAAAAGGTAGGTATCTACCGACTGTTGTTGTGCTTGATTATCCTTTTAGGGTGCGTTTGTTGCACCGGACTGTCTCGGACTGGACTAGCTTCAGGGACTAAGCTGGATTGGCTTAGACTAGACTAAGCTGGACTGACTTAGTGAAGCGTTTGGTGCAGTGTCAGACTAAGAAGCAGGACTATAATATTATATTATTTAATCTATATTTATTAATATTTTATTTTTAATTTAATATCAATTAATATTTTATTATTACTTTCTTTTTCCCTGTTTTTCTAGAATCCTCCCCTATGTCTTCATTCATTGTTTTCTCCGCCTCTCCCTCCCCATTCCCCTTTTCTCCCATTTTGTCACTTCGTTTTTTATTGCAAATCATCTACCTCTTCACTTCATCTTCTTTGCCTCTTGCCTCTGCACTTCATCTCTCCCTGGCAAGCAACATCACCCACTTCACATCCCACGGAAAGCTGAAATTATGCAGAGGCTTCGTCCTCTCGGTACCCATCGCCATGGACTTTGCTGCCTCTGTTTCTCACTCCTTGGAATTTTCTGGGAAGAGGGAAGAATTTTTACTGAGATTGTTGTTTTCGTTTTGCTTTTTTGTTTCGGATATGGGCATGGGTGGGCTGGGTTTCAAATCTGGGTTTAAGATCTGGGCATGGAGGCAAATGGAGTTGCAGAGAGGCATGCTTGTAGACAACACTGTTGCACACAACGCAAGTTCGGAGACGGGATTAGCAATCCCAAACGTTTTGAGGGGCCTCGCTAAGACCACGCAGTGAAGGACTTAGTCGGCACGAGTCCGACTTAGTACCATTAAACGTTGTCCCGCTTTCACCAAACACTGGACTAGTAAGTGAGTCTAGTCCAGTGAAACTTAAGAAGGTCAAACAAACGGGCCCTTAAAGTGTCCTAATCTCTCAGTTGGTGGATAGATTGGATGGTCGGGTTTGGTCGAATGTGCCGAGGAGTCAAATGCGATAATAGTTGAGCTTGATTGAATCTGTAAGTTTGCTGTTGATATATATGTTGGTATCACTTCTGGAATATCAGGATATAATCTTTATACTACAATTGAATTTAGTAATGGAAATTCTGGAAATTGTGAGTGAACCGTGTCCTAATGTGTTGATGTTTAATTGTTTTCTTATTGTTATTCTAATGGAACCTAAATCCTCACCTTTAATTTGAAGAAACCATATCCCGCTGTTTTGATTAGAGGAAATAAATATGTCATATATTCATGGGAGTTTTAACGAAAAACTCGTGGTACTGTTAACTTTAATGAAAAACCACATTTTTATACTAAAAAGTCAAAGTTTTCCTTATTGTTAAAACTCAAAGTTTTCAATCCATTTTCATTAGTTTTCCTTATTTTCAAAGTATAAATATACCCATCCCTTTAGAAACACTGCTTAAAGAACCCCCGATGGAACAAAGAGAAAAATTACACATGTTTGAGTGTTATTTTTGTGGAATAAGAACACGTATTTCAGTATGGAAGGCAGAGTTTCGCTTAATAGGTCATTTCTGAAAATTATGTGACGATTATATTCTATACCTCTAATTGATTGCCCAGAATAATTTGAAAGAACAACACAATATAATGATATTTATTTATTTTGGTCCCAAAATAATTTGATAACCAAATGCCCGACTGAAAATATAAGGGTGGGAGTTGTTAAGCCCATTTACTTGAGCCCACTACTTGTCCTCTTGCAGCCGGCCATACCAGCCTTTTATCCTTATGTCCAAGTAGTTAGGGTTTTTCCTGTTATGAGGAGTATAAATATGTAATGGAGAGCAGAGAACAGGATATGAAATGATGAATTAAACTGCCTCTTTCTGCAGGTTGTGATTCCAGTGCTGGTTGTGGTATCAGTTTATTACAGTGAGCCAAGTTACCTGAGGTAATATATCTGTAACTTGCTCTCTCTTGTTTTCTGTATTGTGTAGAATTGCATGAAGTGTGGTGGTTGGTTGGATTGTCATTTCTGTATTTTTATCGGTGGTTTTTGAGATCTGTTGCAGCTGGGTTTATTGAGTTTATTTTTATCGGTGGTTTTTAGATATTCATACATGTGCATCTTCACCTTGCATCTCTTAAGTTTAATAAGTGGTGGTTAGGGGGTTTAGAGTGATGTTTGAATCCAGCATCTCCTGCAACTAGAGCGACGATATGATTTTAGAATACCAATAATCCTTGAAAGTTGAAGTTCTTGAGAAGGATTACATTGTTGACCAAGCTAACAACCATGTAAATATGAGATTCTACATGATTGAAGCATATACTTACACCGTTAGATATGCTAACAACAACTCCTCAGCTAAAAAAACTACATGACCTGATGTTTTGATATAAGAAATATCTTCATGTGTGTGTACATAAGTAGAAATATGAAAGTTGTGACCCTTACAATGGTGGCAATGTCTCTGAATCTGATCATGTTTTGCGGCTGCAGGTTTATGAAGGCTAATATGATAAAGGCTAATATGAAAGACAATAGAGATTATTGTATAAGTGTATAAGATTTAAAGGCTAATATGATAAATTAATTTAGTTATGATTCTCTTGAAAGTGATTATATGGTACAAAGTTTCAAAGGGTTCATTCAAATGCATTTCACAGAACATGATATTTGTCAACTGTTGTTTATTGAGATTGCTGATGTGGTTGTCTTCTTTATTTGTCAGTGCATATTTCCTTTAATGCTATTTGAATATTTCTTTTTGCTTGCTGCTGTAGTCCTCCTTGGGTTGTCTGAATAGTGTGGCATGTCTTACATTTTGACGATAAGACTGTAAGACATGTAACACATTGTTGTATGTTAAACATCACAAAAGGAAGGAGTGTTGACTATCTTCCTTTTCTTTGTTAACTTTTCTGTTTGATTGGATTTGGGTTTCTTTGGAATTTTATTTTGTGATTGACGGTTTACTGATTGATTTGTCGGAAATTGGGTTTCTACTTCTAATTTGAAAGTGGGGTTTTCTTAATTTCCTTTTTGTTTCCCCTGTTGTTGTTTATCTTCCTCAAAGTTGCTGTGTTATGGGGATTTTGTACACGTCTGAGTCGGGGGTGGGAGGGGAATTGTAAGATAGATAGTCCTTTGCTCTTGTGGTGTCTGAAGGAGTAGGGACAAATTTAAAACTCTTTTGTTGTTTATGTTTGTGAAATTGCAGCTCCAATCAAAAGTTGCTTGCTTTTATCATTGCTTTGACTGTATGAGAACGTTTCAATGTCAATTTCAATTGTACTCATAAACTCCTCTTGTTAAAGGATCTGTTTATATAGATAAAAGGTTTGTTATGAAGTATGTGAAATGAAACCTTGATCTTCAAAGTATGGAGTTTAATTCATTATGTAGTTACACGTATGCAGATATCTGAACTTGTGTGGAAGCTAATCCAACATTTTGATGTGGTTTTCTTATTTTCTTTGTTTTTCATAATCTTGTTTGACATATTATCTACTTGTGATGGGAATTTTTTAATTACCTGCTTTATTCTTTTATCTTGAAAACAGAGGATGCCCACTACGGTTGTAGTTATTCTAGTTAATGAGGGCGCCATATTTGCAGTGGATACTAGGGGTTTCTACGAGAATAGTGAAACTGAATCTCATGGATATCATGATGAGGGTCATGAGTTTAACTAAGACTATTTGGTTTGAATTGTGGGATACAAAGAAAATTGAAGTATGTTTGAATATTTGGATAAACATGTGCGAAGCCTTTTGAAACAGGTAATGCACCTTATATATATTATATTATATTACAATGTCATCTGACTTTGAATTAATGTAGGACATAAACCATACTATTGAATGAGTCGCAACGGAATCACTTCCTACAAAAAAGTTGGCAATTTCAAAGACATCTCCCTGTATTATCTATGAATCGCATAGTTTCCGTTGCGAATCCTTCAACGATAAGGTTTATGTCCTACATTAATTCAAAGTCTCATTATCTTATAATATATATATATATATATATATATATATATAGCTATAAGGTGCATTACCTGTTTTAAAAGGCTTTTGCACATGTTTATCCAAATGTTCAAACAAACTTCGATTATTTCCTCGTGTCCCACACTTCAAACTAAATAGTCTTGAGTTAAACTCATATCCTCATCATGATATAATGAGATTTAGTTTCATTAATCTCGTAGAAACCCCTAGTATCCACTGCAAATGTATGGTGCCCTCATCAACTAGAATAACTGCAACCGTAGTGGGCATCCTCTGTTTTCAAGATATCACAAGCAGATAATATGTCAAACAAGATTATGAAAAACAATAAGAAAACCATATCAAAATGTTGGATTAGCTTCTACACAAGTTCAGATATTTATATCTAATCGTTAAATTTATTGATACAGGTCAAATCTGACTTAAAATATAGTTTCAAAAAATTTATTTTCAATGTGATTATATTTGATAATAACCTTATCGCATTAACAAAACATATTATTTACGAGTAATGGTACACATACCACATTCACGTGTTAGTAAAAAAAAATTTCAAAATCCAATGCGATTATACCTTTACCAAAAACAGAAATTAAAAATAATAATGAAAAAGGGAAAAACAAACCCTTATCATCACAATTCACAAGGCCAGGCTCCCCACCGGAATCTCCTCTCTTTCGCACACAGCCATGAGCCAGAGCGGTAACGAGTCCGAGCGCCAGAGCAAGAAACAAAAACTCTTGAGTCCAGATCCAGAATCCCTCCAGGGCCATATCCCGGACTTACCACCGAACGCAGACGAGCTGCGCAAGCGGGGGAAGCTCATATGGCACTGGGACGATAGCGATGATGATGAATTCGAGGACTTCCCCCCGGGAAAGGTTTATTTTGCTATCGAGGAAAACTATAATGCTCGAATGACCGGTATGGTTTTGATGTTTTTTTTTTTCTTTGATTTAATTTTAGGGTTTTGTGATTAATTTTGCAAGCAAGCCCGTATATCCCAGATATTATTTCTTTAAATTTTGTGTATTTAACAGCGAAAAAAGAATTGAGTGAGATAAGGGCACGAAGATCATCCCTCAAAGAAAGGAAGAACACCAGTATGTCCCCCGAATTAACAAGACTAGTCAGGTTTATTATTTTATTCGACTTTTGTTTGTGATTCGGGTGTGCCAATCTCTGAATTTTTCAGTTTATGAGGAAGATGAAGAGTGTTTTTTTTCATTTCTTTTGTACAAATACGGGAAACAGTACATATTATTCATCCATGTTGATATTAAGTTTGTGTAATTATTTTACAGCGGAAGCACAGACAGATGACAAACCAAAAACGGGTCGATGGTTTTTGTCTCCAACCACATATCCCCGCCTCCCATCTACTGTAGAATTTGTAAGAAGAGCGATGACCACATGACTAAGCAATGCCCGCGTTTTGGTATGTTTTTTGTATTTTTTTCTCTGCTTTTTCTTCTCCCTTTTACATTTTGGTGAGGCTGGGCGATTCATTTGATGATGGTGCAACCATGATCGCGCCTCTCTTTTACATAACATAATCTCTCGAGACTGATGATCGAAATAGCGGAATGACTGTTAAAGTTAGGCAAGACAATCTAACCCATTAAATCTGTGGACTCTGGTCTGATTTTAAGAAACCTGTTTTGGGTATATGATTCAATATCGGTCTCTGACTCTCCCCAGTTTTTATTTGTTTTTTGGGTTCCTCCTCATATTGACCGAACGTGCAAAGAAGGCCACTGGGAAACGAACCAATTGTGAACAATAGAGTGACGCCGAGGGCGATATTATATAACAAAAAATACAGTTATTATGTATCTAGCTTTTATTTCTATTTTTAATTTGTGCTTTTAGTGTTTATTTAGTTTGGTTCATAAATCTTTTTCGACAACTTTGAAGGGGTCATGCAGATAATATTAGTGTGTGACGGTTCTTAATTAACTATTCAAAACACCTTTTTGTTGATAGGATGATGATAGGTAAAACCTTTAACTGATGGGGATCCATTACCTGACGGATTTTGTGTATGGGGAATCTTTAATTCGATTGGACTTGCAAGGACAGGGTTTTGGGGAAGTTTAGCTAGTCTAGCCCCAATCCACCCCTTTGCAGTCCCTATTTGAAGTACTCGCATAGTCCTCTTTCGGTATTAGAAACACAGTTTAGTCATTGATATTTACTTGGGCATGTCACATGTTTATGGTGTCAAAAGTTAGGATTAGCATGCTCGACTAACTTGAATGCTTGTGCAGACTCTTCAACTGTTGTTCATGACGTGAGATGTCGACTCTGTTTGAGGGAGGATCATGTGGTTACAATTTGTCCGTACCGGTACTATGTCCCAAAGGGTGAAAAAGTTGGCCCCGGCGGTAAACTCGTTTGCATATGTTGTCAAAAAGAGGGTGGCCATCCTGGTGAGGAATGGGTAGGAAAAGCTGTTGGTAATTATTGCAGGATTTGTTCTTCTACTTATGACCACAGGACTGAAGACTGCCCCGTGAAAAAGGGAAGAGAGATAGTAGGAGGCAAGTTCCAATCGGCTATGGTTGACTCGTGAACAGAAATGTATTTAATTGGGTAGAACTGAGTTCATGCTGGATCAGGTTATATGATATGTAGTGTTCATTTATGTTATGGTATGTTATATATGGTGTGCTTATTTCCTAGATGGAAATGCAAAACTGAGTTCGTGAGAATATGTTTTAAAAGTCTATATATAATATTATGAAATAAAATCTTATAAGCTTAACCTCTGTGTCATGTTCATGTCCGTTTGCATTCTCTTGGCTTCAGATATCGTACCTACCCCTGCTTCTTATGCATTGCATAACTAGGCTAGGCTTGCTATGGTACCGCGCGAGTATGTCTTCTACTTGTTTTGCGTTTGCTTGCTTTCCTCGACATGCCTAGTTTCACAGACCAAGCTAGCATCAAACCCTCTGCAGTGTCAAGTCTTCCTTGTATCCTCATAGAGTTATGGCTCACGCACATCCGACTCATTGTAGTGGTCGTGACCACCTTGCCTCCAACCATTGTACAATTTGTGAGAATCGCAGCTCTCTTTCTGAATTGGCACTCTTGATTGTTTGTAGTAGTTTGCCTTCAATACCAATCATGAGCTCCCGACTCTACACTCGGTGTCTTGCTTGTTAGCTTCAGCGACTGTCCCAAGTTCCCAACACAACAACACATTTCAAACACCATATAACAGTACCAAACCCTAATTATTTACAATTCAAACTACAAATTCATACAAACCTAACCCTAAATAACAAATTGCGCAACGAGAAAGGAAAGGGAGAGAGAAAGAGAGAGAAATCATGATTAGTAACGTGAATGATTCTGTTGCCCCTGGTCGAGTGATTCTCAAGTTATGTCCCATAGCAACATAGAGCGAGTTTCGTTGCCCTGGTTGAGTGATTCCCAGGTTATTATCCCACATTATATTCATTTACCCTTGGCTTCTCCTACATCAAGAAGGTGACAAAGGTTTTGAGAGATGAGAAGTCACTACAACCTTAAATATATGTTCCCATGCACTGCTCAGAGATGATATACCACGTATTTGAAATAAAATTTGCATACCCTGATGTTTGTGTAAGTAAAAACAATTTGTGCTAAGACTAAGGCCTCGTTTGGCAGCTCGGACTGTACAGACTATTTCTGTCAGATATGATAAATACTCACCAGATAGTACTGACTAAATTAGTTGGGTGTTTGGTGCAGTATCAGACTAATGATCATATTATTTATACTATGTTTGATACTGAACTAGATAAGAAAAGGAAAGAAACAAAAATTGACAAATCTTTGTTTGTTTGTAGGGGTCGGAGATGTTGAGAGTTGTCCCACATCGGTGAGGGACAAGATTTGCTATGTGCTTATATGGTCTTGGACTACTCTCCATATTACCAATTGGTTTTATGGTGAAACCTCAATTTCATCATGGTATCAGAGCGAGGTTGTCCTCGTGTGAAGCCAAACGGCCACACACGCTCCACGTCACCCAGTTGTTGTCCACGTGTAGGCTTGAAAATCCGCCACACGTGTGAGGGCGTGTTGAGAGTTGTCCCACATCGGTGAGGGACAATGTTTGCTATGTACTTATATAGTCTTGGGCTACTCCCTATATTACCAATTGGTTTTATGGTAGAACTTCAATTTCATCAAGAGATGCATGGCTTTATGGTGGAACTTCAATTTCATCAAGAGATGCAGCGGCGGAGAAGAGGTCGGGAGATCCGATATCCAAAAGAAGATGCAGGGAGAGAAGAGTTTTATTCTGGGTGGTTGGATGGAACCTAGAGGTGGTGGTGGTGGTTCATGGTGGTCGGCAGAGGAATTGGGTTTTGTGGGAAGGAAGGGGAAGAACAGAAGGAGGGGAAACGAAGAAGAAGATGTTCATCTCAGTCAACGCCAGCCAATCGCCATGAGCACCGCCAGGATTGCTGCCACTCAACCTCTCTTCTTCTCTGCACCTCACTGTCACAATCTCACAGACCTCCTTCCATTTATGTGGTGGACTCTAAAGCAAATAGAACCTCCCCCTCCCTAAAGTTGCGATGCTAGTACGTTGTTGTAGCCTTAACTGTGTGTGAGGCAATTTGGTTAAGAAATCTGTTGAAATCCTTATGTCATCCACAAGCGGAATCGACTGTGATTCATGTGGATAACATTTCAGCTATCAAGTTTGCTAGGAATCCAGTCCAACATGGAAGGAGCAAACACATTGATACCAGGTTCCATTTTATGAGGGACCATATGAAGCAAAAGACAATTGAGCTTGTCTATTGTCACAAACAAGGAACAAGTGGTAGACATCTTCACAAAGCCACTGCCGGTTAAGTCATTCAAGTTGCTGCGTGAAATGCTAGGCATTTTGATTTGAGGCGGCGTGTTGGGAGTTCAAATCAACAGCTATTGAGGGGCCATAATTGGTGGAACACTTTTCAGCTAGCTGCCTTGTTTTTTCAACAGTTATACGTGTATTTTCTTTGATAGCTTTTGTGTGTGTGTCTGAAGTGGCCAAAGTGTTAAAAGGGTGTGAAGACTTTTTTGAACACATTCATTTGTTTTGCTTTGATAGATTTCAACACTAGGTTTAGAAAGTCGTTGTTTTGTATTGTTATTAAAGCCACTTGTGGGGTTCTTTTGTTTTTGCATGTATTAGTCTTTGGTTATGTACGTTTGAAGTAATCCTATTCTAGAAATAAAAGTTGTAAACTCTTCAGAATATTTTTCTCAAAACTTACTGCATCTTTCTTTCTTTTGTCCAATTTTAATTGAGAGTGAAAGTGAGAGATGTGATAGAGTTAGAAAACTTATCACCCACATTTTTTGGTATTGAGTTAGTAAACTTTGAATACCAACATTTTTCATGTTATAAATGTTGAGAATCAATGTCAAAGTTAGGCAATGTTAGGCAATGTTAGTCAATGTCAAAGTTAGGCAAAGTTAGTCAATGTTAGTCAATGTCAAAGTTAAGCAATGTTAGGCAATGTTAGGTATGGTTGTGTGGAAAAAATAATTAGGTGCAATTAATGTGTTTTGTGTGGTAGTAAATAATCTTAGTTTAATTAAGTAGCTTTCATTTGGTTTGCTATAAATACCCAAGTCCCCAAGCCTTGTAAATCATCCAAAGGAAAAACAAAGCTAAGTGCTAAATAAGAAAAGCTTTGCTAATTAGTGTTTTTGTGAGCTTTCTTTAGAGTGTGCTTTATTTTCTTCTTCTTGGAATAATTAGAGTTATCTTGTATACTCTTTTTGTTCAACAAGAAATTGAAAGCATACCCATGACTGAACCTCACCAAGCAGTTTCAAAACCTTAATTGTTCCCTAATTTTTCCTAATTAACCTTTTCTCTTGTTTGCTCAATTAGCTGTCATGCATCCACTAATGGCGTTAAAATTCATACCAAAGCTCAGCGCTCCATCCATGTTTTTCGTCATGGTTATTCTAGCCATGACTACATTTCCAGCGATCCGAGCCACTCACGAGTTCAAGGAAACCCACCTGTCTTTCTACGCTCATGACTTCTTATCTGGTGCAAATATCACAGATGTTGCGTTTGCAGGTATTCCCGGCAAGACTTGGAACTACAATCAATTTGCCACTGTTTATGCGGAGGATGCCCCTTTAACGGAGGGCATGGACCTAAAATCCGCCTCCGTTGGCCGGATACAAGGCATGTTTATGGTATCGTCATTGGATGGACGTAATTCCTACGATATGTTATCAATTTTATTCACAAACAAGAAGTACAATGGAAGCACTCTACAGATACAAGGAATTGATAAGCAATTCGAGCAACATAGAGAATTATCGGTTGTTTCAGGTACCGGAAAGTTTCGATTTGTTCGAGGATTTATTACGTGTAATACGGTTTTTGTGGACATTCCAAATGCATATTTTGTTACACAATGCAACGTTACAGTAAAAAACACTACTAGCAAAGAATCACGTATGTTGGTTATACTATGTATCTATGATGAAACACTATTAGCAAAAAATTACGTGTATTGGTTATACTATGTATCTATGAACATTTAGTTCATGTTCTTATTTTTATCATATGCTTAATTATGTTTGGTTATGAGAATTAGTTATCGTTTATTATGAATAAAATCTTGTTAAATTAACCTTTTGTCTTATCAATGTTCGAAATCAAAGCCTCTTATTTCCATTTGTAACAGTATTTT